CAGGTGTTTGTGGTTACTCGCCGAAGCTTATCTATTAGCTAGTGTCATGGTGGCATTTCATACAATTCTATGATACAATCCTTATTTCCCTTGCCAGTGCAGTTATTGTCTGTGATTAGTGCTAATAAGGTACTTGATGACTTTGAGTAATCATTTCAAATGAGAGGAGAGACATTATAGGTTCTTCAGTTTTGTTTCGATAGCTACACTGGCATATGAAAGGAAGAGAAATATCCCTATAAAACTGAGTTTCACGAACGTAGGGTATGAATGGCCTCATGACGTTAGCGGTAGGTCTGGAAAGTTCGCCTGGACCGCTCACCTGTAGAGACGAGTTGCTGACTGGTGACTCGAAGAACTTCTTCTTGTAGTGCTGTTTGATAACAGCTGGAATAAGTTCCAATGCTATCAAATGTGCTATGAGGAGAAATCTCTCAGATGTTTGTGGTTACTCGCCGAAGCTTATCTATTAGCTAGTGTCATGACGGCATTCATACACTTCTATGATGCTAACCTTGCCAGTGCATTTATTGTCTGTCATAAGTGCTAATAAGGTACTTGATAAGTCATCGCCTTTGTTTCTAATAACTGACCAGTTTTGAGAGCTTATATTACGGGCTAGGGTTGAATTGGATGACTGTGGTTTGATATGTGTACAGAGGTTGTAATTATCTCTCTGTTGCTAGCACAGCGTCTTCGTAGGGTTGGAATAAGCTGATGTGTAAGTTATAAAAAGTGTTTTTTAAATAGCGTTTTCGGGGTAACATCATGAAATTTTCTCAAACTTTATCATTTGATCACCCAGTTGATAACTTAAGCAACTGAAAGCCAGGTGTTGTAGCATTCCTTGGATTGTTCTTATATTTTGTAGAGGCAGCAAGAACTGAGTCAAGCTTCACTTAGCATTAGCTTGACTTGACCTCAAGTTACTTTTGAATCGAACAGAAATGATTCCAACTGGCTTTAATCGGTTTGGTTTTCAAGATATTCTTTTAGAATTTGTTCGTGTTATCCTCTTTCCGATTGTTCGATTGGATATGGGTATTGAAGTCCCGTGCTTGTTTGAATATTTATTTGATTATACCCTTGCTGTTGTTGTCTATGTAATTACTTCGCCTTGTTGTTTATGTGATTGTTCTGTGTTTTCGTGCGTTTATCACCGTGTCCATCCTCTCGTTGATCACTATCATGTTTCTGATGCTGTCACGCCAGGCGTAATGAAGGGAAACATTGCTAGGCATGATTTGTTGGCGTTCCATGAACGAGGTAGAATCTAAAAGTGTATAGGGACCCCGGACAAAGCCCCTGGATACAATTCGATGTTACATGCTACGCTCAGGCTCAAGTTCAATGCTCTTGCCTGAAAATAAACTCAAAACTTTGCTGATATTGGGATAAATTTGAGAATATCAATGGTGCGTGGCGCAACAGCTGTAAAAATGTTTCTCCACGTGTTACCACACATTACACCGAAATCGCCTGAAAGGATCAACGAGTTGTCAGTATTCGTCGCATTCGATGAGTTTAGGATTGTCATGGCGGCAACTGTTGCAGTTTTGTGCCGATAGATCTAAGTGAATTCAAGTGCAGTATAGGTTCTAGACTAAACGCGATTGTTTACATCGCAGTTGGGGACTAAGAATTTGAAATTTAAAGGCTCGTAGAAATGTCGATGTGAAAAGGCATTTTGAAAATTTGCTAATGCAAAGCGCTGTTAGCGATTCAGCAAAGTGTAACTGAAATGAGTGATCATGAATTGAGGAGTGTTTCTTGGGAAGCTCATCCGTCACACATACCTTATGTTAGGCATAGAAAACAAACCTCTAGGAATCAATTAGATTCTTTCGAAAAACATGGCGATATGACAAAAAACAATGATTCTCAAATAAGATTATAGATTCCCTCGAAAGGAGACAGAATTTATGAAAGACGATCAGCATGTCATTTAGCGTAGAAAAGGAACGGCAAAGCAATACAACGGGTACAGCATTTATAATATGACGTGTAATGCATGTTAAGGTAAATGGTACGATGAGATCAGCAAGCCAGAGTGAGCACCATTGTTTTAAAATGAGTGATTTGTACAGAAAAGGTTGCTGTATCTGACTCATGTTCAGTTTTTTCTTCTGTGGAAAGCATGTGGCTTCGAAAAAAACCTTCTGCATTTCCTTCCGGCAGCCATGAGTCAGGCTTCGTTTCGAAATCTTCAACAGTGTTTAGTCAGCGCTTCTGAATGTACATGCATGCTCCTCCTTCTATCGATAAACTAAAAACTGAGTGAGGAGATTCGTGAACGTAACCATGCGAGAACGATGGCAGTTAAAATGGTAAATTGCTCAAGCTAAACGTCACTTCATCATTTTCTTTAGAAGGAGCCTTTGAAACCCCAGTTCATTCCACCCAGCAGCCAGTAGAAACACTATCAATACCACTTAGTTAAGTTCAGTGCTTAGTAACCACTCACGTTCTCCAGTAATTTACAAACTACGTTAAATCTAAGGTATTTTGGATCGCTGTCGGCAGCGATCCAAAATAGCCGCATAGCGCACTGAGAGCGGCGCAGAAATTTGCCGGCTGTAGTTCACCCTCAGCTATTGTTCAAATTGCTCTCTCCGTGTCAAAAGATTTCTAGATTTACATGATGGTTCGAAACAAATCAAACTTGACCGTTTATTTTACTGGAACATTTTTTGTCAACAACATTTCATCAATTATTTTGTGCAGAATTGTATAGTAGAAACGTAGATAAAATATTAATGAAGATATGAACATCACTATCGCTTCTTTATCGCTATCGCTTCACACACTCAGTGCTTGTTCGTTACGTTTCGAGGAACAACAAAACGCGCGTTTCAATGAATCCATTATCCACCTTTCGATGTTTGCTACCATTTGTTGATCTTGCTTTTTACGTTCCATTTTCTTCTACAATGAAGATGCTTTTGGTACTTTTTATGACGCTAAGTAGATAGCTGTGGTCTATTAATCGCATTTCGTTGCTTTTACGCATCGAAAGCTCATTTCTTTTGCATGGACAGTTTGAATTATGAAAATGACAATGAGTTCTTTACAACTAAAGATGATGACGGGGACGTTTAGGCGATCGAAAATGGTACCTTTTCTCATTTTGCAGTGGAGTATAATATAATCTAATATAATACAATATAATATAATAAAAATATAATATAATATAATATAATATAATACAATATAGTATAATATAATATGATATTACCTGGATCGGCCAGGCTATCAAACGTTTATAACGTTGCTGGCCACAATGCTCGCGTTTCCGTGCGCATTGTTTTAGCCTCCTCAATTTACGCCACCCCGCTGGCTAGGCGAGCAGGCCAACCGAACAAAACCGATATAACGAAATATAATATAATATAATACATGTTCATTGCTTATTGCAAAAGCAATCAATGGTCAACCTGTATCTTTATGATTTCATTTCTTATGTTGCTACCTCGTCGCCAAGCACTGAACGTCGGGTAGTCCATATGGGTCAGCGGTAATGGTTCACTTCGCCTACGCTGAACTAGTATCGATCTCCGTGGTTTTGTTACCTAAAATTGAATCAGGTAAATCAGTCGACATTATCAACCGCGGATTTGTTTGGCATTTGATGACATCTAGCGTCACGTACAGTTTTACGAAACCTGGGTTGGGAGCGGTTGAGCAGTATCCTTTCGCAATATTATTTAAATATGCAGCAAATTTACGGAACAAACATTCGTTATGTTTATGCTCATCTGATGAAACAATGGAGATGTGATAGCGACATTACTTGCATTGTTCAAGAATAGCATAATGGTCATTTCGAAATTCCGGCTCATTTTATTGTTGCAATTGATTTCTAGCGATAGCTTTGAAGTGATCCATGTTTGCGCTGCGATTTCAATGAAAAATTACTCCAAAGAAGGGAACTGATCATTTGTGAGAAAAATGAATATAACGACCAACTTTGCCTTCATCGCATTTGTTTTCATCGGTAACGCCTTCGTCATGGAATGAAACAGTTTTGCAACGTCTTTTTGTTTGAATACGCAACGGCTTCTGAGGTATTTTGAAATTGGGTATCACGTTGTTCAGATTCGTTTCTGAGAAAGATCGCACTCGTAATGGATTCAGTGTTGATGGTCCGTCTGTCAACAATAGCCCGTCTTTATAAAGCATTATGACCATATTATTCTCTGTCATTTCTTTGACAAGCGAATTTCAGTTTTGCTTTCTGTCGGTTTAGATGAAAAATTTAATGCAAACGATGCAGTGTTATAATAGCGGGTTGACAGATTCGACTCTTGATCAATGATGCGGATATGTATCACATTTCTGTTTCGTTTCATCTGGTTTGCTTACTAATTATGGTTATGTCATGGAGTGTAAAATTGAAATATGACACCACTCAATGCGTTTTCATCATTACTTTTACTTTTCACAAGCTCCCAATCGAGAGATCGAACATAATTTAAAAATTTGCAATTTCAAATGATGCTGGCGACGAAATTGAAAAATTCCTCGACCAAAATTCATGTCGCAGTGTCTTCGGGAGTTGCGTAAATTTTAGAAGATTTAAATTGAAACAAAAATTTTTATTTTTAATAATCAATCAGTAAAAAATTTTAGTTCATGTGTTCCCAATTGAAACTCTTCCAGAAAACGGAACTGATTTCTGAAGTAAATTTGAACTCCCGAGTCAGAGGTCACCATTCTTTTTATCTGCAACGATTACCACCCGGTTATTAGAAAATTCAATGGGAATTGCTCGAGAAATCTTTCAGTGCTTCAGTATTTGGGTCTGTTGTGAGGGGACGGCGTTCTTGCCATAGAAACACTAAAACAGCATCTACCTGCTTCATATCGTGAACTCATTTCGGCACTAGCATCATTTGACATTAGAGTCAATTAGGATTGAACTCTTCATCATCTTTCACTATTCCAAATGGACTGAAAATGTTGATAGAGTTTTGCAATCGAACACTTTAATCGTATTAAATGGTGCGTAATATTTCAAAATATTCCAGAAGTGCATGAGAATAAACAACGACAACGAACATTGTTGAACTGATTTCTGGTGAACCGGTGAAAGCGGATCATGCAACCAATTTACTATTGATAATTTTCGATTTCTAAACATTCGCCTCTCATACTCGGTCCTCCAATTCCCACCATTCATGAAAGATTTCGACGACAACAAAATGTACGGATCTCTCTGCGCCAGTAAACTGATCTCAATCAATTTGCGATCCGTCTCAGTTCCCTCATCCACTGAACTACGGTCACTGCCAGCATCTCCATCTGTAAATCAAGCTGTTAGTACTCTAAACACCTCCAACTTGGTTGACAATACTATGGCAAACAGCTCTTCCTTGTGCAAAATCATCTCATATCAGGTGTGCAGTGGTGGGCAATGGTGCACTATTTGCTATTCCGCTATTAAAGTGGAGTTACTTTTTTCATTAGTGCGATAGCTCGCTACTTCTTTGATGTAGTGGAAATTTGTAGCAATAACTTGTGCCACAATAATTTTTTTGGCAAGCGATGACTGCAATGTACCTATTTCTGTGGACGGGAAATCCGATTCAATTTACCAAAATATGGTTCAAGGACTTGCCAGTGTTTTGAGACAGAGCATATTAATATTGTCTGGTGGAAAGCGGCCTACTGATTTCGAATCTGATTTTAAAAAATCAATCTTGATCATGAGTTCTGGTGCAGAGAGGAAGATCAAACAGTGACTAAGAGTACCCTTGCACATACTCTCCCTTCTATAATTTTGGTATGCCCATGGTTTTCGCATGTATAATTAATTTGGATTAGCATCAGTTTCGGTATAAATAGAATAATCTTGAAACATGATCAAGTACAGGTAATTCATTTGTAATCCCAGTCTCACAAAACTTCAATGATGCCTTGCGGAACCATTACCTAGAGAATTTCAAGATCCGTTCAGCAACAATTTCAAGATTCGGAACCAATTTCAAGATCACTGAGAAGCGTACAGACATACAATATATTGCTATATTGGTTCGAACGCATCTGAGCTAATATACCAATGTATTGTATGTAAATACCAGTATGTATCCGCTTGTTCTGCAGACTTGGAGAGTAGATTTGAAATCAGTTGTTCTACTACGGGAACACTGTGATTTCCATATTCAAGCTATGGTAACTCTGATTGTTGCCAACGACATGATAATTTCTTGGTTTCATCTGCTGTCGGAAAACTTCATGGGATCTTTAAGATTGTTACTTTCCTTCAGTGATTTATATGCTGACTTAATTAAGGTTTCTCAACCAGGGGTGCTTGCACCTCCAAGGGGATGTGAGATAGTATTCCAGGAAGCAGAGAATGCATGTTATGAGGACATTTTAGCTCTTTTTATGAGTAGTGTTGGCGAAAAAATAAGGTTGAGAGCAACTGGCTTAACTAAACCATGTGATTCAGATGTTTTTTCCCGAAGTCCCGGTTTCTGACTTCAGGGATCTTCAGGGGACGTTTGCAGGAGATCAGTCGATTTTCCTGTGTTTTCATTTGACTGCACTGGTATTTTGCCGAACCCCGTCACCTCATTATTTGAATGTACATCTTAAATGAAAAATTACTGAATTTTATCGCATGATCCATAGAGATGATACTTTCTACTGATCATACTGTGATAATTAACCATGCGAAGAAGAAATGAGTGGGTAAGGAGTTTCCGAACAGGTAAGGGAATTTGATCGTCTCACTATTAACTCTTGATAACTTTGATTATTGCCTACGGCAGTCATCCAGGATGCTGTAATTTACTGCCAACTTCACTTTCTTTTTCATAATTTCCCTCGCACATAAACAAGCATGAAGTGTTGTACAATGCTCAATATCTCTCACATTAGTTAGTGCTAGCCTCATCGGAATCGATTTCATCTGTATTATTTTGGGAAATCGACGATGTGGCTCTTCATTAGGATATTATTTAGTCATAATTATAAACGGAGCTACCTTTTTGAAGTACCAAGCCCAGCACTGAATACGAGTAATATACAAAACAAATCAACAATCATAACAGTAACAATGATGGTGGATAAAGAATGAATTAATAAATAGAAAACCATTACCGCTCCATTGTTTTATGAATTCGGAGATGTGCGCCGGAATCCGCAGCGGATCAGAGAGGGAACGCTGTTTAGTTGTGTGCGAAGGATTGGATTGTATCATAGAATAATAATTAGAGAAGGCTCAGATGCATAAACAAAATCAGTGGATGCAGTCGTTGAAAAAATGACACTTTGATCAATTGCAAATGGATTCCATTTGAATGCTAATCCAAAAAAAACGAACAAAATAATTATCCGTGAAAATTTGTTGATACAATCGTTGAAGAAAATACAACCAAATTTCCAACCAATTAGTGCAAATGATGATTAATGTGGTACAAATTGAAGAACTGTCTGAATGGTCGTCGCACACCGCGTTAAGCAGTAATGTGAAAAGAAACGAGCGAAATGGCTGGTTATTTTACTTAAGTATACAGACGTATTTTATAATACACCTATACACATGCACGTATACATAAAGGTTTTCCTACTATAGACTCAATGAAATAATACTTGAAATTCATATTTCATCAAAACCAACTACAATACACATGTGTATTCATGAGAATTTATTTACTCGCAAAAACGTACTCACATATTATAACGTAATTGTTAGATTTCAACAGTATAAACTGATCCATAAACACATTAATGATAAGGAATAAAACCCGCATTTGATGAATTCAATATCGATGACAACTTTGTACACATAGAGTATTCGAATGGCACGCAAAAGAGAACGAAATTCAATTATATTGATAAGAAAGCAAAGAGCATTGTGATAAGATTAGTCTTACAATCCAAAAACGTTAAAAGTGTGAGCGGAGCGATATCCCAATTAAGTGTTTGTCCGAACAACGAAAGAACTAAGCCCAAAGTAATGAAATTATTCGAACGTGCAATGGGAATGAAACTATTATGAAATTAAATACTAAAATTATTCCAAATGATTCAATTACAAACATGAACACGTGCTTAGAATGATCAGAGACTGAAGAGCTGGAAATGATTCACACACAAAATGCAGCAGAACGAACATTACTGACTCTAAGGACTGATGGTTTGATGCTTATCTGGACAATTTTTAACGAATTATTAATAACTTTACGCTGATAAAATCAAAATAATGACACTCATTTCCAGATCAATTCTCAGCGCTTATTCCAAACGTGCGATCCACTTCACTGTTTTTTTGTACATTCCGGAGTTACGTTCTCGGACAGGTATCTCGCTGCAGTCATATCGCTTATCAGCAGAGTTTGATTTCTTAATGATTCTTGATCAGCTTCGTATGCTGATTGCAATCATGCGATCAATTCTTTTGCATTTTTCTCCTTTAATTCACTAAGAATTCAGCTGAATTTTTGTTCAACATTGTTACATATTCACGTTTGCGAACGAAAAAGAACGAACATATCAAAACAAGCATTAATACTTAGGTACAGATTAAATACTTGGAATCAGCATGAAAATTTGGTCTGAAACAAAAATTCAATTCCGCGAAGAATAATGTGCTGATCAGACTAGATTCGAGCCAGTCCGATATCATGACTTAGTAACGATCGTTGACAGGAACAAATGAATCCAAATCAATAAATCAAGAAGGTCAATCTGAAAGTAATTTAAAAAAGCAGTTCAACAAAAAAAGTTCCGATACTCGACTGATAAATGTCATCAGCACAGTGAGAAATGTCCTCGTACCGTGATTCGGAAACGAAAGGCGAAGCGAAAAAAAAAACGAACTGCTCATTCAGAACCGTGCTGTCAGTCGAAAAGTAATAAATTTTATCCGTGGACAAGAATCGTCTTACATGTTGTTAATCAGCTTTTTGGTATTATGAAGTATTTGCATCGCAATCTCAATCAATTTGACGATATGAAATTAATTCTCTGTTTCTTTTTTTAATCAACTTATTTCTGAGCTTTCTCACTATGAGGATTTGTTAACGTTTTCTGAGCAGTCCCAATATGTTTTCAACCTCAGTGTAAACAAGGTGTGCAGAACATAATTCGAATTCAACAGCACACTAAATGTAAGAAGAGAGCAATCGCAGCACATTCGAATCCACAATCACACTTATTCAAATCACTAGGAATAGTCAGATTCATTTAGAGACACTTGAATACGATATTCACATATAGTTTTGTTTTAGATGTTTTTCGACGCAAAACTGATTTTCGATGTTTTAAGAAGCAATAAACATGATGAATGCTAAGGTAAGTCAATTTGTGTATGAACGTCTTGTTTTGGTGCGTCACAGTTGCCGCCGATATCCGATGAGCCAATAATTTGATCGATATCGATTTCTGATTGGAAATTGATCGGTGCAAACAACGATCCTGGTACAGTAGCATCGTAGTAATCATACTCGAGATCTGGTTCAGTAGCGAATGACATCGATGAATGACCGGCACGTAGTGTTCGATGAGGTGAATTCGTTGCTCGCGATGAAGATTCACCTTAAAATATTCTTAGTTAGCAGGGGATTCGATGGGATTTCGCAACTCTAACTTTTCGACTCTGAAATCGATCGGAGTTATGCATTACTCTGTGAAGATGTTTGCGATTATTGCGCAAACATCTTCACCGAGTACTTTTGGCTGGAAACTTTTACACACTGCTCGTTAATCGGTAATATCAAAAAATTCTTTCTGCTTCTACTCAAAGAAATCTCGTTCAAAACAGTGGTTGATTACAAAGATGTGAATTTCAACAAAAGTATCACGATGACGGAATGTCGGTGGTGGATTACAGTCCCCGATTGAATTATTCAGAGGAACGAATGAGATAACGAGGTGAATGCAAATATTTGCTCATCATTATTTCATGAATGCGCGATAACATCTTTCAAAAGAATCAGAATTCCCCTCACTTCATCATTGGGACGAACGTTTGAACCGTCCTACTACTCTAGATCATCTCGAATGTCAGCGGTATCTAATCAATTTTGGAAAGATCAATTGATGAATAAGTACCGTTCCGAGGTATCCTCGGTGTTGATGCTACCGAAAGCTGAATTCCAATGGATCGCTTCGAGACATATTTGTCGACCGCAATCACCGTGCATTCAGTGTTGCCCGATCGTAGCATTTCACAATCAAGTCTGTAATCTTCGTAACTAATTGAATAATACCAATAATATCCTAATTCAGCTGTCACTTTATGGGTCAGTTTCATTCTAATGACCAATACCAATCGCGTTTCAGTTAAGCTGTAAAGAACGGAATGTTTTCCTAATTCGGGACGTGGGAACGGAGCAGTTTGAAATGCGCAACGGAAGAGTTTTGAAATTTTGGGGCGCAGGAACGGAACAGAACGGAACGACACTGCAAAATGAGGGCGCAAAGTAACGGAACGAAACAGTTGAAAGTGGAGAACGGAACAGAAGATATTTGATGTGAAATTCAACGTTTTTCAACATGCATTCGCTATTCGAGCAGTCCGATGTAATTGCTACTGTTGTTGCTTTTATTGGTACTATTATTGGTATTATTATCATTATTAATACTATTATTATTGCCATTAGTGTTCCTATTATTATTCGTTTTATTGCAGTAACAACTATCATTACTGTTGTTAAATCATCTTTTTTTTGAAATCTCGAAATACATCGAATGATGCAAATTGCATTCATTCGCATGACATCAAAATGATCCTAATTTGATGTTTTGGTTTCATCATTGCTTTTTGCGTAATTTAGTCCTATTATTCCTTGTCGATTAGTTCAACCGATGTCAGGCCGAAATTAAATAGTAACATCAGCGATCACTGCCGATAACTTTCATCTTGGTTCGACGATTTATTATTGATCGACATCAACTATTTGCAGTGCACGAAAAGAAGTGCTTCGAAGAATGAGAATATGGAACAGAACAGACCCGAATATCTGAGCATGGTGGAATCAAATAGAACAGAAAAGGTCGCCAAAAGTGTGGAATGAAAAAGTCACTACAACCGTTGATCCTGCTCGAAGGGGAAGAAATCTGTTGGCATAATTCGTTGAATGTGTTGCCACATGAAAAAAGCAAAGAAATATTTCACAACATGAATTTGAATTGTATCCCTTCCCATTCAAGAAAACACCTTCCTTAAGCAGTTTTTTTTTGGTAACCTCGATGGATTGTCATGAAATGTTTGCGGCATTGAACAAATGTTGTGTGATTTTCATGGATAAACCAGCATAGTTTCAAGTGGTTCTGAACCATTTCTCCTCCCGCACCACCTAGCAAAATTTCAAGATGTCCTCGCACCCCCTACAAAAGTAGTCAGAATGTCCTCGTACCTTGCACAACACCCTCTCTCTATCTCTCATCCACTCCAGTGAGTGTCTGCAGATAAGTGTATACTATTAAAGTACATCTTAGCCATTTCATAACTATTTTACGTCAACGTCCATCCTCACTGCTTTACACACATAAATGCGTTGAACTCGGTTCTCACCTACTTTCATGTACAAAAAATAGAACCTTATACTAAAAACAAACTAAACAAAAAACACCAACGTACAATAGTATCACTCAATTAAATGCCCCATTCAACAACGTCCAAACTAATCCGTGGTACCTTGTCGATTCATTTTCGTCAAAATTTCTTATAATTCCGTTTGAAAGTACCGAGTGCCGAATGAAATTTTGCTCGTGCTAACAATAAATTGAGCATGCGACGACGCTGCTGATTTTTTTCCGAAATCATTCTCGATAACGTGCTGTCGAAGATTAATAGGTGCTTATCACTTTACACAGCGCCACAATCGTCCTCCTACTCATGAATGTGATTCAAATTATCATTTTAGCTAATTTAATTCATAGCCTCTGTCTCTTCGCGTAATTCTTCATTGAAATTCAATGTTGTTTATGTGGTGAATTGCAGTTAAGCTCGATATCTACTGACTCCATAAATAACTACATATTGGTTCGCAAATGTTAACAGTTTCCAGGAATATGATCACTTCATCTTGTTAGATGCATCTTGAGTACCGATCCAAGTATACACAAAACAGTCAATCATTTCGTTTTTCTTCTTGAGCAGAAGAATTGATAATCCAAAAAAAAGGAGAATTCGCATTAACGATTTCCCGAGTGCATAGCACTTTCTTACGTAATTCAATGAGCAATGCCTCAAAATTTTGTATTTGTGGTTGGTAAAATATCACAAACTTTGGAGAGTCTTTCAAGGCACAAACTTAACCGATTTCCGGAATTTATGCAGGTCAGAATTTGAGCAATGAACAAAACGAGAAGCGAATTTTGATTGAATACAAAGTTATAAATTCTTGAATTTGGCCAGCAGTTATGAATTTCTAACTGTGATTGAAAGATGCTACGTAAAAATAAACTCTCGAACCTTTGATGCATAAGAGGTATGTCGATTGGTGTGTGAGATTTTTGGTTTGTTCGCATTAATGTCAATTTAGCACATGCAATCGACGGAAGTATTACGAATAAAGTAACCGCAATCGCAATCATACCGACTACAATCCTCATATCACAAAATGGACCACATTCGTTCCACTTCACTTCTTCCACCAAGGGACTTTCCGTTTCTTTTGTCTCTTAAAATAATTTCATTCAAACAAATTGTGAACACATTTCCATCATAAACCAATCCCGAATGATGCCGTAGACAATCTTTTTTTGCAATTATTACGATCGGTGATGTTTCTAATCCAGTCAAATTGCTTTACTCATGTTCTGTTTCCAGAAATAAAACAGAACAGTTCCAAAAACGGGACGCGCGACCAGAACAGTGTCAAAATTTCCGGCGCAAAAAAAAGAATAGAACGGAACGGTTTTCAAAATGTCGAGGTGGTGAACATAATAGAACAGCTGAAGGACGGAACAGAACGTTTCTCAAAAAGGCGCGCAGAACAGAACAGAAAAGCTGAAGAGTGGAACAAAATGGAATAGTTTGCGAAAAGTGCGGAACAGAAACATCACTAATTGCGATGTTTCGTTGAGTGTATTTGTCTGATGCTTTCAAGCAATACAACGAATTTTCGAAAACAAGTGAATTGATGAAAAATTTACTTACACAATTCTGGTCGAAACGGAATGCAGTGCTCAATATAAATTAATTTTAATTAGGGACTCATGTAGTTTCAGTTTCGGTTTATTGCAAGAGATAATTGGTATGCGCGTTTGTAGAAAGTGTCATTCGGAAGGTAGGTAAAGGAAAGTCATCGATGCTTGAAATGCTATATGTCGAAGAGAGCACCTACCATTAAGCCATTCATAGATCACTTCCATTCCACTCACAAAATTTGTTTCATTTCTCGAAGAGGTCACGAATATTAACGGCATTCGTGGTGAAAGTTGCAATAAACTTCTTTTGGAGCGCACCTTAGCCGAATCGAACAATATCACCTAAAAACAGCGATTCATTCACATTGTTAACACTTCATTCACTCCAATGAGAAATGATATGTCAAAAAACCTTTCTTGATATGAACTTCAACTAGCAATTTGCCACCGAACACGACCTTCAACAGCCGTTGATGCAGACCTTATTGTAACAAAATTCGCGCAGCAGGCAGGTTATAGTGTCATAGGTGAAAGAATATTGTTCAACTCTTTTGAACAATTTTTTTTTCTCGTCAGAAGAAAAACCGCAACATGTCCGCCTTTTTCGCAGCTTAACTTCGAATTCACACAGTACAGAACTGCTTTGAATGTAGGTTATTTGGGCAATCTTGAGCTACCTCTAGTCTTTCCACTGGTCTGAGGTGATTACGAAAAAAGACCACTATTTTGCGACAAAAAACGATCTCTCGTCTATATTTACATTTGATGCTTTCAGCACACTGCGGAAGTCGATCTAATGCAAAAGTGTTGTGGAGATAATTATGAAATGTACCATAAATGTACTTTATTTCAATATCACTGCATTCGTTTTTTATTCGTTCGAAAAAAAAAAACGTTTGTTTTCTCGAAAAAGAAGTTTTGTTCATCAAATGTGCTACTCGGATTTCTGTTCACTTGACGGAACTAATTTCCAACGTTCCGGATTAAGCGAACAAGTTCAGAGCCACTGTTCGATATGGAAAAACTCAAATGATAAAAATAACTAACATTTTTCACTGAATCAGCAAAAATTCGAAGACGTGTACCGTTGAGTCGTTTTGATAAACGTCTTATGGTCAACAACAAGTATACACCTCGTGGATGTAATATCCATTCTGCATCATCACTACATGATTTTGCATAGAACGATCCAGAGTTTTCTCGAATATTGCATCCACATTCGCATGATGAATTATCCGAAATTGTTTTCCTGACTAAAATTCATATTTTCACTTTGAGATTAGATGGAAATGCTACTTTGAAATCCAAATGCTTCCATTTTCCATGAATAGTTATAAGCAACTAATCAAAAAACTCTTCAATTTTGGCACTTCAATCTGACATGATCCGCAGCTGATGTGGTGTTCTAGTGATATGTTTCCACTGAGGATATAGCGGGGGTATTTCCATACCGTTTTACTGATATGAGTCAGAAAAAATGTACCATGATGGGCAAATGGTACCATGAAGAATGGCTATAAGTTCTGAATAAATCTCATAACTTTTTAAAAAGAGCTCACTTAATTTGAAACATATTGAACAGGAATTCAAAGCTGCACGAAGCGCGTTGAGTTAAAGAATTTTCGGCGATCGACCGGAATCGATTTTATACTCTCATTGGAATGAGGTGATGAAGATCAGTGCAAATTCGAATTTTTTACGATAACCCACAGAAAATCGAGCAATAACATCGAAATACGATTCGATCACAATAATGCGTCTTAATTTGAGATGTAATTGCAACGTAAAAGAACTGCTGAAAATGCATACCAAGACATGCTACTTGAACACACTGAGCTGTCTCTAGGAATTGTCCCTCACAAAAGGATCCTCCACTGCGTGGTGCCGGCTTATCACACAGTCGATATCGCCTTCTAAACCCTCGATTACAGCTCACCGAGCACTCTGTCCACGCACTCCAATCACCCCAAGTTCCATCTACTTGGCCCACTGAAAATTCACCAAAGGATGATTTCGATTCTATTGAGTGCATTGACCACTGAGACTCTCTCATTGATCTTATTGAACTTTTATGCATTTTACACATAAAAAAAGCATTTTATCCGATACTCAAAGTTTTACTTCTGTCGTGTTGAACTCAATCAGACGACCCACAATTTTCTTTGCAGTATTTTTCAAATCGACATTTTCAATCGGCAAACGAAGGTTCAAACGAAAAAAATATTTGCCATGATAATCAAAAGCAAAATTTCCCCAACGATAAGATAAAAACATCATTTCAAGGGACAATTTTATACGTAGAATCTTGAAGTGAGTTTTTTCCACCCCAGCATGCAGATTTCTTTCAAATCGTTGCCGAAGAAAATGGTTAAAACGCTTGAATTTGGCTGCATGAAAAAAAGGTGACTCTTCCACCACACACAAGCTGAAAATACACTGCCCATGTGAAATGCGATATGCAAAATCCACATCTGGAATAAATAACTATTACACGCCATTCTTTAACGAGATGAGATTAAACGCGCAAGTTACTGATATGAAAGTTATGTATTCTCTTATTTATTTCGCAGAAAACTAAACAGTCATCCCCACTCAGAAACATGCACTGAATAATGAAAAGAGTGGCTGATGAGTGTGACATAGCTGGAAATAGACGAAGCACAAACAGTGGGAGAAGCAGATTTCCTCATTAGATGCAAACATCAACCTTTCCTTATGGATATCACTGCTAACGTCGAGAAATGTTCCTTGTAGTTGAATGGTGAGTGGTGGGGAGAAACAGAGCTCATTTTTAGATTTATCGTGTCAGATAGCATTTGAGTGACATGTTTCTCAATTTTCAAGACAACGAAAGGGCAGTGAAATTCATGTTTTTTGGCCACATTCTGCAACTTGATGACTGTTTGCAAAAAATGCAAATAACTTGGAAAAGGTCCTTTTCGGACTCTGCGAACAAAATTGTCCTGGTAAATGGTAACCTTCTCATCGTTGAGTATATTCTTCCCATTACGCAGTGTAACTGGTTGAATTTGACAAATTAGAAAGATTTTTCAAATTAAATTTGATTCGAGTGGATATTTTTCAATCTTGCTGGCGAACTTTCTTCAGGAAATTACGATGTTGCGTAGAAGATAAAAGGGTGATAATTCGTTAGCATCTATCTGGGATCTAACCAAAGCACAGGTATTGTCTTCAAAATGTATTCAAAAACCGCATCGCTACCAATGACATCATTCCCAGTCCGAATGTTATCATCAAAAGCATTTTTATTATTACTGCAATGCGCTATGGATATTTTAGTCAATCGTCTTGACTCACTACATGCTTCAGTATAGCCATCGAAACGAGTAGAAAGCATTGCGGGATTTCCTTTATTAGGATAAACGTGATTACAAGTAGATAATTTTGTGAATGGCCTAATAAATGTGATTTAAGTATGCGAGTTTATCGAGAACAATGAGTCGTGATTACTATCCATATGTTCTCATTAACTATTCTACTGCTGAAATATCCTTTCAATACAATATCGTTAAAACAAAATATGTCACACTAACCGGCAAAAGCAATCAGCGTTAAACGCAAACAATATACGCTTGCAATATTCAAGAGTATGCAACCTGGTAACGATGTAATTATCTTTCATTTCTTTTTATTATGTTCACTCGTCATATTTGGACACAATTGCATCGCATGTATCGGCAAACTGTTGCTAAACATATGTCACAACGAGTTCTCTCATAATGCTTTCCGGCTATTCAGAAAATTCGGTTACATTTCAGCATGCAACTTATTATCACTCACCGTTGTGTCAACTGTGCGAAAGGTGATCTGATCTGACTGAATGAACGGTTCATCGAAAAGTTGAAATGGCATTCTCCTAGCAATAAAACAGAATCTTTAAATGAAACAACGCCAATTCCGTCTTGGTTCATTCAATTAAATTGTGACAATCTAATAGTGATCTGCGTAAATAATAGTAAGCAATGATGAGTAAGCAATGACAATAAGAACTAAGAAACAAACACTTGAGATGATTACGATCGAATGCACTTACAATCAGTGACTGATGCATCATGCAAGACGAAAGGCTCTCATCAACACTAATCAACGAGTTTCGCATCATCGTGAAATAAACGTTTTGTAATCACATCTTAGCAAACGCTCATTCATCCGTAACAGCACTATGCAATGCAGCGAACAAATCAGAGGATGATATCACAGATGAATAAGTTTACTTTCAACACGAATGCATTCAATGATTCGATAATTGCGAGCATTCTAGTGACACATTCTGCAACATCTATCACTGATCATAAAAGTGATGTTTCTGTCATAAATTAAAAGCTGAACTAAATGATTCTACACAATTTGCACGCTCATCAGATCTCATTTTCTCGTTTTCTTTCAAAATTTTCCTCATGCTTTCAGTCACATATTCACTCAGCTTGTTTCTATTCTTTTCAAGATGCTAACTTGTCTCAGTTACAAAAAACTACTTTTCTCCTTTCTAATGTTGGACACAATTATTATCGCGACGGATGGCTTCACGGCCGTTACGAAGAATGAGCAAGCTTCATGTAATTTGCTATGGATTGTGAACCGGAACTTGAAACGATATTGAGGATTGATACGATATGCGATGTAGCATTTGTTTGTTTGAATTGTTAGCGATTAGATGCTGAGATGCCGTGTGCATCAAAGAGGTTTCACTGCACAAATTGCAAACACCCATCAAAAACGTCAACACATTTCAAAACGAATGTCGATCATTCATCGAAACATTCACAAACTGCATGAATCAACCAAAATATGAATTTCCTAGAAACACTATTTGTACTGGCAGAATGTCATCACATTGATGGCAACATCCAAACATCAAAACCCTAATTAAGGATTTCTTGTCTGAAATAAACGTCGTCAACAAATAAACGTCAAACTAACTTAGTTAGGCTTACTTTAAAGCTCATTAAAGAGCGACATCAATGAGCATACATAAACATCTACGCAGTAGATCTTACTTGTAATTCAATGTCCAATAATCACTACTACGCCTTCAAATACAGACGTTAACCAATAGGTTGCTGTTGTATGCTGGCCGAATATTTGAAAATTTTTACTAAAATAAGCATAATAAATTGAACATTCACTAACGATTTTCGGTGAGAATGCATTTGCGGTCCCATTCGAATAGTTCGGCAGTGTTTCGATGAACAGAAACAATTTCGAAGCAGAATCTTGCGAAGATAATATCGAATTGTGAACACGGTAAATAAACGGCTGTGTCATTTAGGTCTAAAAATTTCCTAATTAATCTGTTTCGCGTCCTTACGAATCTTTGCTTAGAATCTACAAAGAGTTCAGCGAGAAATTTTGTTTCTCAATGTTACTTCAAGAAAAAAAACAGTATGATTCTGGCACTGATGAAAACGGTGAATGAAATAATCGATTGAGGGATAAAGTAGGTAAATATTTTAATTCCGATGGAGAAAAATCAAACGAATAGGGGAGTGAAACAGCAGATGGACATTCAACTAATGAGTAGTAACCGATTACCGATAGCGATATCTTCGACGTAATACGAACGCTCGAAAGAGGATCGTTCTGGAACGGCGAATATTCGAATTCGAAAATGAAGCAATGGTAGAGGACATGCAGTAGCTGTCCACGTTATCCGTAGGTGAGTATCACAACGTGGAAATATACTCTCTCTTTTGATTGACACCTTTATTTCATTCGTTTTATTTACTCGTACGATATCACTTTCCTGAACTTGATTTTAGCATTATTTCTAAATAGTTCATATACCGGAAATGAAGAAAAATAGAAATATGTTCATTATAAAATCAGTTATTGGATTTTGAAAGTGGAAAATTATTGCACTGAAACTAATCGTAAGTAAAAGATTGTATCGGGGCATAATTCGTTCACTGTCTAAACGTGCGATCAAATAGATGTGATAAGTGTTGTTTGAAAGTGTGTGAGAAGTTTTTCGAATTTTCAATTGTTATCTTCTTAGGGGTGATTGAACATTAATTGTTCTGTTGTTTTGCATCAGTCATATTGTAAGAATATGCAGATGTGTATGATTTTATATGATTCATTTGATTAAAAGTAGGGGTTTGGAGTGGAAGCAATGCAAAGATTTGTTGATGAAACAAGAACTCGCCTTAACAATATTTTCTCCTTGCGTAATAACTACTCTGTAGAATCCAGGAACTGAGAAGTTATTACAAGGAATGGTGACAGCTGAACTGGAAAGAACAAATCGCTCTATTGTGCTGAATTGCTGCTCTCGTTGTGGCATTACGATCGTTGACCGATACTGTAGGTGTAGAGCGTAGCTGAGCTGCGGACACAATTTTGGTATATTGTGCAACGTTAGCGGATGTGCAACCGAGTGCTCTTTTGGCAATTGTATGGAAATATTCGGTTGAATGACTGTTAAATTTTTTAAGATGATAGCGCCATTGATTATGAGTTCATAGTTGGGGTGTGGAAACGGAAAACATCGACACGGGAATGTGGCATTACCCATGGCATTAAACGAGCACATTGAATGCTTGTTGTGCTTGACTTGAATGAAACTGGCTTGAGCGATAAACACGGTGATCGAGTGACCGGCTTGCAGTGGATTTTGTATTCGAATTTGAGTGTTTTCCATTGAATCGATCATGATAGGTAGTGTTACAAATATTATGATGAATAACATAGTTAGTGAAATATATCATGAATAATTGATTAATCGGATAATGATGAAGAGACGATGCTCAATTTGTGACGATGCATTCAAACGCGGTGTATCGTGTCCCAGTCGTGATCTTACAGCTGCCAGAATTAATGACAATACGAGAAGAGAATCATCTGAAATGGCAAACTGCACTATAATACCTTTCATGCGTAAATCGATACCACCTTTTATTTATCCTCAATATCCACTGCCGTCTTTATCCGCTTTAATAACATAACCTCCTCCTTCCAGTGCATGATGATAGTCCTTCTCTTGCATCACTAACCGATGACATATAATAATTAGATTCAGTCAGTAATTCCTGATCACTCAACCGAGTGTCTACGTGAGTACGTATCTGTGATATTAGTAATTGAAGAAGCAGAGTTTAATGGTCAGTGCGGGGCATCAAATAACATTTCGTTCATTGTTAAACTCGACAAATTACTTAACTCATGCAATGCCTCATAACGACTTAACTAACCCTCTATGGCGCAGTCAGTAGCGAATAATCTTATTGCCGTCAAGAGTTATTATGAATAATGACAATAACAATAATAGTTGTAGTTATATTAATGCTAGTATTAATAATTATGCACGGAAGATATCCTACCAATGGAGAATTATTGATAATGATGATGAAGTAATAACTGAGAATTATTCAGTGCTGTGTTTAACTTTACGAATTGGCATTGAATATCCGCTGGAACTAAAAAGAATGATGGAAATGAGTCGTATGAAGGAATTAATGTTTCATGAGAGCTCACAGTTCCAGAATTCTATAGTAGCAGTAATTTCAACTGCGCAACAAAAAGCCACTCATCTGTTAAATTCAAAAAAATTCCGTGCAGTATGCTAACAAAAGATTACCACTATCGTTGTTCAGTGGATTACTAACGTCTAACTCACTACGGTACTTATGCCGCTCTTGTGATCCGATAGAATAACGTCATTAAAAACTCATTATTTTTCAAACTGATGTGAGGAATAACTGGAAAATTCCTTTTTCTGCATTTGCGGTGCAATCGAAAGGTTTGAAATGAATTCTGCTGTTGGGTCGGACAAATCAATTCTCGATGACAATGGTCAGAAATGATGATGACAATAGATGGCTATTATGACAGTGTCAGCGAATCATCAATTCATTATTAGATCGCATGCTTCATTATTAATGCATCGCATTGGAACAACGCAAATGAACACCATCGCAACATAATTTGTGCACCTTGGCGCCACAAAATCAAAAATATCAAAAATTATTGCATATATTCGGTAGCTTTTGTCACTGAAAGATGAACGAATGCCCATGTGCCAGAAATCTGAATCAACTGTTTTACGACGATGCATTTTAACTAATTATCAAATATCATGTTCAATTGCATAATTTATTAGATAAGCGATAGTCCGTTCTGAAAATTTGACTGCAAATATCCAAAAATATAAGTTATGTCGTTATAACTCATAAGTGTCTAAACATCGTCATTATACTAGATATACTATGCACACATAAGATGCTGATTGCACTCCGGATTAAGCAATTTCAGGTTGATTCTTTTGATTGGATGAGGTTTTTTTGATGTCATAGCATAATAGCACCCACTGAGTATCATTACGTACACTCCACTTAAGGTGTCCTCAATAAGTGAGCAGATTTTCGATGGATTTGCAGGGGGTACATTCGCTTACAATGATGCGACGGTCGGGAATTGACCGCACGTGCACAAAAATGAACATCTGCGATGGTGTGAATAAGAATATTTCGATAATAGACAAAGAGAGTTGCCGAACGAGGCGTTAGCTGTGCGAAAATGATGAACGAAAAGGTGGTTCGCAGCACATGTACATCGTTTCAGCGTATAAACTCACCGCAATTACAAACGTTTTGGTCAAATCAACGAATGCCGTCATGAATTCGCTTTCAAAGAACTTATTCTTGCTACTGCACACACATTACCGCATACACAAATCTTCCTAATTCATAACGCTTGAGATAATAATTTTCCGTCCTAATTGGTAATGAATATATTTATGCAGTTAAGCGAAATAATGAAAAGCCGCCATTTATGATTTTGTTTAGAATTATTCATCTGGAAAGAGTTACAACATTCTCGAAGAGTTAATAGTATACAATCATGAAGTGCACAAAGGATACAAATTGCTAGCGAGGTAGTCGACGGAGGATTGATTAGTGCTTTCGTTTAAGTGCTAAAGAAGATATTTGAATTTAGTGCAAATTAGCTACGAGTACGATTCTCAGAAGCGTTTTCACAAATGACACTAGGTTGGACAAAAACGAGACAAGTCTATCGAATATGCAGCTTTTGGATTAATAATCTGAATTCGCATTGATATCGCATTAAATGAGTCTGATGATACACGATGGATGACCATCGTAGCTGACAATGAATAACGATGCTAATACAAGCAATCTTTGAAACGAAACACGTTGACCTACTCGATCGAATGCAAGTATACTCACTCTCATTACTTGGCTGATTTTCTATTCACATTACAGTATTTTGTTTAGATCTAATGCTTCAGTCATATGCATACGTTCGTAACTATAGAAGACAACACTTTGAATGAGTTCGACTTTATTAAAATAACATCTCGCTAGGAGCTGTGCGATTCATGCATACCGCTGATTTCAATAAACTCGGAGGAGGCAGTGAATTAATTGGTTTATGATTTAAAAATTTACGAGCGAAATCGAATATGATACTAGTGTTAAATTTATCATCTTTTTTTCTAGCGGGTGTATTAAAGTTTTTAAACATCTTGGTGTTGATTAATCAAGGCACATATATGCACATACAAGTAAGACATTATTAGATGGAAAGTTGGAATGATTTCGAGTATGAAATCATTCCAACTTTCAGACTCATTCCAACTTTCAGACTCAGTAGTATGAATACAGACTCTTTCATGCTTCAGCGGTATTTTATTGGCGTTAACTCTGAAGTCACAGCGTGAAGACATTCTCGTCTGTGAAAGTGTTGATAAGCTGCACTGATCTTTATCAATTCCCAAGGCCGAGTCTTCTTTGCACCAATTGCAAATGAGTTTTGAATGCGCTCGTGGATTCAATCAAAACTCTTAATATTCATAAAATTTCATTCATTGTTCGAACAATCCTACTTCCTTTGCTGAATCGACATTCCATTTCAAAACATGCAATTCCTAATTTTGCACTTATTTGAAGCGAATTGAAAGACTCAAAAAGTGAAATGCTACGAGTTTATAGTTAAATAACTCATCTGAAGAACTGGATTCAATTAAAATTTAGATGAAACTGAATTGACATTTATTTATTCATTCACTAAGCTCATACTCCGAACACTCTGAATTAGTATTACTACTAGTAATTTCATCTCATCCGGTTGATTGGTGCATGAAATGCATCGCTGCAAAGAAAAAAACATGCAAATGAATTCTGCTGAATTCATCTTCTTTTCATTTTACGTACGAATGGAATGTATTCGTATTTTAAATACGTTCTTTATAAAATAAGCCTCGAGAGCATTTTATCGACGACTCACCAATTATATGATTGTTAATTTTGAAAATGCGCAACTTTCCAAAATTAACGATGGCATCTCGCTGAACAAGGCAGTCGTCTCGAATTTTCGAAAAATCACGTGCAAAGGATAAATTCCTCCTCTGCGTAGTACTATTCTATGAGATAAATTATATTTTTGAGTAAATCTACCGCAAAATTCGATGTAATGCTTTCCAACACAGTCAATAATTAAAAAAAGTTCATTCGCAATGTGCAACATAAAAACAAAATCCGCTTAAGCATACGGTCAACTGAGTATGAACGATGATTAAACCGTACCGTTGCATTCGAACGAACTTATGATTAAGACCAAAGAGCCATGTGTCTATATCTCCCGCAAAAGAAGCATAATTACATTTCTATAGTTAGTTCCGTAAAATTTACGATCAGAATGCATTCATCAAAAGTATCACGCAAGTATGCAGAAAATACTAATAAATTATACCTGTTCCATCTATAGATATACTAATTTCAACGAGAAATACTCTACTGAGCTGGATTACCTTCACTAATACTAGAAACAGTCGTCATGTTCGTTGGCATCTCAAAACTGCATCGATATGTTACGTTTCCAAACAAATAAAACTCAAGTAATAATATGGCACAATTTCATTGATGAACAAAAATTAATCGAAACAGCAAATAAAATGAATAAAATTAATTACGCATACATCCAACGCAAATAAAATCGCCAATCGTGCTCATCTTTCAAAACGAGCTACGTGCTAAGCACAATCTAGACCAGTACTAAATATCTCTCATTGAAAAGGAGGGACTAGCTATTTGAGACTAACTGTTTGGTCAATCATAATCATCATTATTGCTGCATCTATCGCTCTCGTCTCGTTGACAATCGACTTTTAGAAATGAGTTGACTGCGGCCCTCATATGATATCGCACAGACATCATATTCAGTCATTATGAATTATGCATTCGCAACATATTTCCAGCACTCGCCACACTATCAATGTCTATAATTAACTTATCGCGACAATTCTTCATTCACACTTTACAATAGAGAAGGGTTTACATCGCATTTTAAGTATAATAAAGTTGCAATTACTAAGCGGAAAGGAAAGAAATTGTTCTGAAAAAAAACATCACCGAATGGATGGAGCCTCAAGAGATAGCTTTATTCAACAACTAACAATTCATTGCTGCGTTTTGGATATGCGTTTTCATTTAGGATATCAAACGCATTGTTTTAAAGTCAACGGTAATTGTCACTAGGATGGCTGAATGCAATCTGCCATTTTGTGATGCATTCGAAAATGAATTTTTCGCCAGAATCGATAAAAGACTGCGATTTTAATGCAACTAGGAGAGCTATATCTGGAGTGTTACATTGCTTAAAGTTTTCTCATCTTCGGTTCTCAATATTAGCGGCTCTTGAAGTTTAGCAGTTCAATGATCACTTAGCAGTAATTGCATTTTAGGTGACTTCCGTCATCCCCTCTAGTTTCATGGAAATGACGTTCAAATTCGATGTTACGCCTGGTCATCGCGCAATATTCTTATTATCCACTGATCTAGAGTAATCACATTAAGAGAGGATCTTATGATAAGCAAAAACGTGAACGAATTCACCGCACGAAAATTGAAAGGTAAGCAACTATTCTCACAAATGCTACCGATCATCCATTATCACTTTAGAGCTCAGTCAGTATCAGTTTATTGCCTGCCGAAAACTGTGGACAATAAAAATTAAATCAGTATATTCTAAAGGGATTCTCTTCTGAGCGTACTCCACAGACAGGTGCTCTAAGCAATGCATTTGAAAATGAGCTCGCAGAAATGATAGTCTCAATTGACAGTTTGAATGGTGAATGTGTCAATACTCAGTCATTGCTTACTGAGAACTCCAGATGTCAATGTAATTATGCTCAGTTCACAGTGCAGTCCGCTTTTTAGCAAGATTTTTCTTAAATTCACGACATGTAATGAAAAAATTAACTCAAGGAGCACACTTTAGTCGTAAAGGTCGATAAAAATCACAGCACTCATATTGATCTGCACTAGTCGAACATTGCTGGCATATGAAATCGATGCCAACATACGCATCTAATTGCGCATTACTTTGAATAGATCTACAATATATAAAGAAAATGAAATAAAATTTTGGAATCAGCAAATTCATCAACTCTTCAACGCAATAAAGCGCAAGTCTATAAAACCAGAAAGCGCACAACGATCAGCATTAGACTGCTTTATTTTAAGCATTCATGTGGTCCCTTGGGAGTGCTCCAATTAATTTTGCGTAACTGACCTTCTATTTTGGTATGAGATTTCGTCCAAAGCTAATTTGTTCTTATTGAATGTTAATAATAACAATATCATAATATGAAATGAAATTTGCTGTGACACTATTATGTACGCTAGATTGAATGCTTGAGACAACGCTCAATCGAGTGAAAACAATGAACAGTGCGCAGGTGAGAGAATCACTTTAATTGCAATTCTCGCTGTATATCCTTCATCACCAAGATGTGTACATATGTGAGCACATATAAATCAACACAACCAAATTCGAACGAATGTTCATCAATTATGTCCAAGACAACAACAATTATTATTACTGCTCCATCCATTTCTTCTCCAATTGTGTACGCTGTGGCAAATAATACCTAGTTCCTAGCTAAATCAGACATAAATTATGTGACAACTTAAACAAGCGCAAAACACAATTTAGAACGTGAAATGAAGACATGCAGATATTCATCGAGAATCACCGAAATCATCAATTTATTAATCATTGATGATCAGTGTGGGGTTAGTGAGAGATTCGAACCGCAATGATTCAACTAGATTTCGATTTCAAATTTGCTGGCCAGCATATTCAAATGCCACAAATCTTCTTGACGGATGTAAAATAAACGGAAAAGTTTCGCAATGATTTTTACTGATCAAAGCATTTTTCCCTATTAAACAGTTTGCTAAATAGGATTATTAAGAAGCTTGGTAAGCGTTGTGAAATGAGATGACACAAAAACGATAACTGCTTTGAGTGCGTCCGAGTTACCGTTCTCTGCCAACGAAGCAATTCCGCTCTGCAAAGTGAAACAGTTGTAGTAGGATTAGAGCAACTTTTGCTTACAATTAATATTTCATTATGCACAATATTAGTGTACTTACAATTTATACTCATATCTCTAAAACTGGTGTTTCTTAATAAAGTTTAGCAACTTACTTCTTCAAGATTTTCGTCAATTTCTCTAATGATTTTAATCGCCCGAACGAGTGGATTTCTATCTCGATTCATATCGCTCCGTTCGTCCAACGCTTCGTTCGCTAATTTTTTCACTCTCTGGAATGTATAGCATTACATAGCTGATTGCATATCACCTAGAATATCATGATTCTTTATCGGTTTCCGCCTTCTTTTCCTTTCAGTTTCTCTCTCACAATTCGATCGCAATCGATAAAAAATTTCAGAAACTCACAAACTGAAGACTACAAAACCTTCAACGTTCACTGCATAATGTCAACTACTCCAGTAATGCTTTGCTGTCATAGAAATTTTGTGGACATGATTTAATGGATACTAAAAAAAGAATTTGAGATATTGATCGCTGACGTCGATCTCATCTTCGAGCGTTTGCATCAGCACAAAGCAATCTTTGATTCGACCAACACTCAGCGCATTCCCACCACCTCGTTTCATAATTGACTCTCCAAATTCAAGCATTTCAATTGCTGTTTTGCCCATGGTTGCCCATACGGATTCATACGGACCGAATGACAGTATCAACGAGCATTTACTACAATCACAATGCGTAATTTTCGAAGTCAACTTTCATATACCGCAATTTATGAAACTAATCCAAAAGTCCATTAACTAGCCGCTAATAAAACCAGCAAGTTTGGTATGTGTTCTTTGGCAGTAATTCAATCATTAAGTAAAATTCAGTTGGCTGTATACAAAACCTGTTGACCTGAGAGCAAAGTTTAAGAATCACATTTTCTGACTTAACGAAATTGCAGCATCCTCCAAGTCTGCAACACAGAACTCACTGTATCAAAGTCTTTTGAACGTTTTGATTATAAGACCTTACCATACTATACTTAAATTGATTGTCCATTGCAAAAGAAGTGAGCTGTGCAGAGAAAGTATTTGAATGAAATAAATATGGAATTCAAGTAGTTTCAAAAGCCAAATAAAATATGTGGAGGCGTATGACCAATCGTCGACATTTTAAGTAAATTTTACCGTTTCAGATGAACGGCAGCAAGACGAGCTGTGGTTTCAATGCAGTACATTGTTATTTTGTGTATGAAGTCTATATGTTCAGTGGAATAAAGCAAATGCAACAGTTGTATTGTACTCAGTATACATTTCAGTCTAGCGGATGCATTCCTCAACTCAACACATTCTTCCAGTAAGTCAATATCGAACAACGATAGTTCCATTTGCACACGGAACTGTTCATTCGGCTCCTGAAATCGCTTCCACAGTCAATTTCCATAATATAGATAGTGAATAAAATGTGAATTGAATCCATCCTTTTTCCTTAAATTCGGATAGGAATCAACAAGCAATCAATCAAGTTCTCGTTTGAGGCTGATTAGTCGCAGCGATTGAGCAATGAATTGCGTAGTTCTTTTATCATTACGACCTCTCAAAAACTGATACGGAAACAGGATTACATGAATTCAGTGATACCATTTCAAAAGGAACAAACCAAATATCGATCTGCAAACATCTCTAAACGAGGTCTCAATAGAGTCTGTATATTTGGTAAACTTATCGCTTTTACTTCACTTTTCTTGCGTTTATCCACATGAATCAACCCAACTGTTTCAACGACGAAATTTTTTAATCTATTGTTCGCATCAGCCCATCTAAATGAACTGTCGTCATGACCTTCATTATCAACCGTAAAAGAATCACCGAACTTCAACAAACAGTGAACTGCGAACATCAGCCAGAGCTTTAAGTGCATATGAAGTCTAACGCTGAACCTGAGAATCTATGTTTATTTTGCAATGATCATGAATAGTTCAAGTTGATCAAATGTTTGCTTTATTCCCCAATAACAACGAAATTTNTGTTTAGTCCTGATTTTGTTTCTAGAATTGATCTGAATCGTTTTGGTACAATCTAGAAAGAGTCAGTGAAAATGAACTGAATCTTAAGTTTTGATCCTATTTTAATGAGATTCATACAAAGGTGGACAATAGAGCGTTACTTCGCTACTAGTGAAATAGCGAAGTAGTGATATAGTATACTTTTTGGAGATGAACATCCAGTGAATTCACGACTGAAACACATTTTGCAATATAGAGTTGTAATGATCCAACACAACTGTGCTGAATTCGACAAAATATCGACCGAATCTCACCTAAATCCAACATGCTTATGAAGTAACAATAAATCGACTTTCACGAATTCATCAGCATCGCATCCTAGTATATCTGTCAACAAGCGAACCATTCGCCAATATAATTCAGCATTGCAACACAACCCTTCAATTGATTTATTGTCAGCGTTTATTTACAACTTCTTTGAGTCCAACCAAAGTATGCTTATCAATTTTGTGGGTTAATAAGTTTTACTGATCAAATTCTCTGACCTCATTTTCAATTTTACAATGTATCGAAAAGTTCATTGGTTACTTTCAACTGCATGAAAGCCACGAATTTTATAATAATTCTCAACTATGAGTGATTGATACAATCTGGTTAGCTGATACGAGTATTGGTTAATACAAGAGTCGAGAAGAACTGCAATTGATGCGAATATTTGACGCAGCACTGTGTAATCAGTTCAATCAACCATGATAATTAGTTTCGTTAGAGGCATTAAACTGAAAGCATCAGTGATAACTCCAGTAAACGTTCAAGTTCCCTAATCTAATGTCTTCTATCAGCCAAATACCTATTATACACTGATAGTCTAGTAGGAGGGTTTTGTTATTTCTTTTCATATCGACGAAGCAAGGCACTTACCAACATAAAACTGTTGATCGAAACCGAAGGTGGCTACACGTAAAGTTGTTTTGGTGATGATGAAAATGAATTCATTACAGTTCGCGGGCAACTTTGTATCGCTCCAGCTGAGTGTTACGTCCGGTTGAGCGGAAATCTCACTGAAACTCCCGTCCGTTCTATCGTTTGGATTTTGTTCCAATTTGTCGGTCCTCTCAACTCCGACTGCTTCTTCAACTTTTTGCGCGACTTTGCTCTTTTTCTTCTTACCAACTGATTTCTTGCCCATAGCTAAAAACATGGTGATCTTAATACGTCATCATTGCAGTGATGTATTTTCAGACGATTGTGAAATAGCTCACTGTCAATAAAGTGCGTTCGTTACGTAAAATAGCACGGTTCGTTATGATTCTGATGAAATTCTGAGAGAAGTACCCTTTTTGACGATGGCTGGAGATTGTACTCTCCAAGCTTTTTGCTCATTGCCATTTTTGATCAACTCGTTTTCTGTCAATCTCCCTAACGCTTTCGTCGCCGTCTTTTTCCTTTTTACGCAGATATAAAGCATCCTCCTTCTACTGCTATCATTAACAAACTTCCGTAATGGTGTGCAATCCTGAATTGTTCATCGTTATTTCATTTCTGCCCTTACAAACTTTTGCACTCAATATACAGTATTTTCTGTGAGAATAAAGGTTTGAAGAAATGAGAAAATAAAGCTTCGGCAAGGTTTGAAGTGCACCACTCAACAAAAATTTCCACATAGTACTCGAAACACGTATTGTAACACTTGTCATAGAAGTAATATTTAAGTTCAACGACAAAGCTTGATGATTTCTCAACCTTCCAAAATCGTAATTAGTACCCTTAAATGAGTTCTCATTTGACAGTATTCTCGATACATATTTCATTAAATGAGTTATGATTTGAAAGTATTCCTTAAGTTTTTTGAAGGTTGTTCATTGTTTCAACATGGATGATAAAACCAAAACTGATTGATGATTTGAAGCAGGAATAATGCTGCCTGAAGTATTATGAATAAATTACCTGATGCAAAATAAAAGAACTAAGAATCGAATCTTGAACATCGTTGAGCAGTGAACGCAGATGTCTCAACAGCCAAAGTTGACTTGTTTCTTCGTTGCGTTCTTCTTCTCTCAGTGCAAAACTTCGCAAATTATTCATTCTTACTCCTGAAGTTGTATTTTTAAACATATCAATAGCCATATGTTCGTTTATTCTCGTTTCCACCTCACGTTTTCGGAAACAACGTTTGATTTTTTGATTGAAGACCCCGATGGATGCAATGAATTTACTACTCTGAAACTTAGATTAAAATGGAAAAATCCAACGTGTGATATGAAGTGACCTTCACAGATGAATCACTTATTCTTTTTTCCAGTAAGCAACCAGAAGCTACTACGTTTCCTGTGGTTCAAAGTTATCGAGCAACCAATTCTCAATAATAATTTTAAACGAATTTAAATAACTGTCAGTAATTCATTATTTAGTGAATTATTGAGTATTTCATAACGAATATTTCATAAGGAAAGACGTGATGAGGAATCACATTGCATTGTAGAAAGATGGAATATGGATATTTTTGCAACGTGTATAGTTTGGCAGATAAAAATTGCAGAAAGTGGGATTCTTCTTGGAGACTGGTCGTAAAGATAACTGTGTTTTCAATAGGTGAATTTTATTCGCATAGCTGGATGGGATTATTCGGAAGATGAAATGTGCGGGACGATGCCACTATCTGATGTTGATTCATTGACTAGATGTTCGTTTAAAATATTGATCTGATCTATCGAAGATTAATGATTGTTTTTGGTAAATATATTTTACAAGCAATCAGGACTTAAATGAAAAAAGGAAATATAACGAGGAGTGAGTGCTATGAGAGTCATTGGCGTGCAAAATGAGAAGGTGACGACTCATTGAAGCGTTAATTGATTCATTGTTAAGCGAAAACTTTTACTGCTAATGCAAAGTATTATCGAATGAATCGAGTTTTTTGAGTGTTCATGAAGTCGGACAAACGATTTTAAATCAATTTCAGAGTGCTGCTGTAATAGTGAATCAATCACGAATGTGTCCAAAGAATTATCGGAATCCTTTCCAAATAATTTCTTTGTTCTCAAAAAATGGATTGATGAATGTGAATTCATCCACGAAACATCTCAAAAATAATTGATGACTGAATTAGCGGTTATCGAACATGATGAATTGCATTATTCAGTTGTTCTGTGTGTTCACACGGATTTGATGACCGTGATATTGTTATTGCGTCATATATAAACCCTTTTCATTGCACTGTTTCAAAATACTATTCAGTTGCATTTCCAACGTCGTTCCAAAACCGAATCAGGTCATTTGAAATGCTCAGAACAGATCACTCGGTCTCAATAAGATCAATCTCAACGTTCCGTTATAACCATCCTAGATGTTCTTCTCGAGCCGCTCACTTATTCATCTCATAATTTCTGCAACTTTTATTCAATTCTCATTTTCATCAGGTTATCATTAATCTCATTCAACCAGTTCCTTGCTAGCATTACCGGTGGTGCGTTCGTTCTATTATTTGCAATTCATTTCCTTTTCATCCAAAAAATGCGATTAATAATAGCAACGCTGAATTCAAAACGCTATATGGTCGCTCCTCAAGAAAGGAGATTTCATTCAGCTGCACTCTTTGAAAGTACAATTACGCAGTTACTATTGATTATTATGTTTTCAAAGTGCAATACAAAGAATCGATCATTCGTTTAATTTTATGCGGAATCCTCTGATCTCAATGATGGATAATGTGGTGAAATTTGAATCTTCATACAAGTGTATCAATACTAGTTCCTGTTGAATCGTTTGAAAAAATTTCAAAATGGCAATATATTTTAGTGTGCGTTGTTAGTCACTGGTCAGAATGGAGTGTATGCTTCGGGAGTTGTGGCTTTGGAGAAAAGGTGCGTAATCGACGAGTGACACGACCACCGTTCCCTGAAAGAAATCAAATCGGAGGGCTGATACTTCACGATTGTCCTCGTCTCTACGAAATTGACTTCTGTTCACCAACAGCCTGCTTGAATGACAATGTTAGAATTACGATTATGCTGTTCTCTTTGAAAGAAAAAATCATTCACTTTAAGACAACGCTCACTGCTCGGAAAGCTCGTTACATCCATATTAATGTTTGCACATTCCCCACCATTTTCCATCACAGAACAATCCCGAGACTCGGCAACTTTAGAAATATGGAAATATAGAAATGTCACGTGTTCAAAGCATTCTTTTTAGATCAACACATTTACGATTTTTTGAAAAACAATTAATTTAATAAGTCACACAGATGATAGCATTTCACAGACAAACCGTCAACCTTACTTATTGTTAATGTCACTGAAAATGAATGAGCTGGGAATGATCGATGTGTAATTCAAGATGAATGTATCATTCATTAATATGAAATGCCATCTTTTATAAAATTTCGAAATCCTGGGAATTTTCAGAACATAAACCCTGAGATCCGGATCAGAATTCAAAAGTCGGTGTCCTGGGATTCCGTGCAAACATTAATCCGCATAGCTATCTTATCACATTAATCAGTTTATTTCGGCAGTGCTTACTGAATCATATTCCAAATTCTCATATGCTTACTGAATCATATTCCAAATTCTTATTTCAAGGATACCTCAGCAGACACAACAATGCCAAGTCAACGGTCGCAATCAAGCATGAACAATGCCATCGCGCAGGTATTATCGATTATTGACGATCCGATGCGGAGAATGGCTCGTATCCATCTGACAAGGCTGCACAGTCATTCACAGACTTCAACGATGAAGAACTCGATAGATTCGAACGCTACAAAGGATGCAGAGATGCACAACGATGAAATACACCCAAACGGACATTACGATGAGCAACGTTCCGAGAAGCATGCCGCTAATACAGATTTGGTAGGCTGCAACAATGAGAAACACTCAGAAAAAGTCAAAAGAAGAGTACTGAACACTGGAGATGCGCACGTTGAACCGATGGACGGCATAATTGTGAATGGCAGTGGAGTCTCTTGTGAGTTATTTTGCTGAATAACCCATCCAAAAACGTCAACGAATTATCTGAAAATATAACACACACTCCGAGTTGTGTGAGTCATTTATCCAACAAAAGATGGTGTTTTTGCGTTGAGTTTACTGTTCATAATCACAATCCATATTAGAAGTTTGAAGATCTTTTATGAATTTGATTTTTTGAAAACAAATTGCTTCTTTGTAAGGCTCAAATTCAAACCGGCGTTGTTGCCGAGTTCAGAGACAGCAATGTCCTAATGGATCAAAACCACACTTCGTAACGAGATGGTACAGAAAGGTATTTTTGTGCTCCATTATTTTCCCACTCCTAAACCTGTGACTGTTGACAAATACTGCCTTTTCTTTTCTCATTCTTCAGTGACCGAAACTAAAAAGAAATACTAACTATTCAATGTCAACAAATACTTTTTTGGAAACTCATTCATCTCACATGTGAATATGTTAGAAATGAGTCATCATTACCATGATTCATGAAGGTATTGTAAAAATATTACAGATTGGTGAAGAGGAATGCACATCTTATCTTTATCCATACTGTGGAATGGGAGTCGAAGCAGATGATCGACCAATAAAATACGAAGCGAATTGTTTGGATATTTGTTTCACGATACAAGAAAAACATCTGCGACCATTTCTCGATCACTATCCAGTCAATCGACAATGAGCATGTAACACAAGCTGGGTTGACAGTGATGCAGATAGAGTCAATATTTTCAGCCCTCTAATTGCTTGGAGGTAGAAATCAAAACGTTCAAAAAGTTCGACTATTGCTGCTTATGAAAATATGCTATTGTACAACTTTGTAAACCACTGACTCATTATGGGTCCTCTGCCCCTATCACCACTGTTCGGTGCTATTGTAAACACTTTCAGAAAGCGGAAAAGATTGCCGTAATTCATTCTTTCGGAAATCATTGTTTCGTTAATGAGCTTCACTATCTTCTAGTTTTCGCACTCCATTATGATGACTTTTTAAATTACATGCTCTTGCATTTTCCCTATTGTTAGTTGAAGCTAGAGGATGAGCACATCTGAATACAAAGTACGAAATAAAATTACAGTTTTCAAAAACCAGAAGTTCAGGACAAGTTGAACAATTTCAGTTGCACCATTGTATTCTTACATCAAAAAACTCTGAACTGTATATTGATTATAATCTATTCTTATAAATAATAATGTAATAATGTGATCATGGTGTTTTCGAGTAGGTTTTTATTATTTGATTTTGACTGCTCGAATAAAACAAAATACTCTGCCGATGATTGCTAATCGTAACGAATAACAGAATATGAAACTCATTCGAGCATAACACCAAATGGAGGCAATGAATGACTGGATTCATTGAGATGTCTCATTCTCAATGCATTCATTTGCAAAAATTAATGTTACTTATGATGATGGTTCCTCAGTTATTGTATTTGTTCAGAGTACAATCGTAATATCGAAATCACAATTTCCTCCCTATCAGTTCATTTGACCAGCTTTGCTTATTCAAAGCATTCTTATACTGACTGCCACTAACTTGAGAATTATGAATTTGAAATGGAGGAAATCATTGGAAAAAAATGCATTTTTATTGACTGTGAATGTGATGCAACCAACTCAAAATTAGCATTGATTCCATTCAACATGTGAAAATCATTGAGAACAAAGCAGAATCACTGTCCATTGAACACGATTCATCAACGAATAAAAATTATTGTTAGAATATAATCGGTGCGAGCGGTTCGTCGTTTTTTCGGAATCAACGCTCCTTTTCGATTCAACGATGATTACTGCAAACGTTCCTGTATTTATTACCGGAATCAATGGTGAGATGTTGAATGATGACAGTACAGTTGATGGCAGTAGTAATAATGATATCGGTTGGGGTCAATTCCAAACGACTACACGTTATTCGAACATTTTTCACGTATCTGAGCGTGCGACTGGGCCAGAACTTAGGCGTAAGCCTAAGCTTACACCTAAGTCGAAGCCTTAGCCTAAATTTGACGTGCACCCTAAGACTTCTATCCCAACTAGGATCCATTTCTAGACAACTAGAAAATGCATAACCTTTGGAATTGTCCCGACATCATTAAATCGTGTGCAGAATTGGTGAATCGCTGATTGTGATTTGATGTGAATGGTCAGTAATCATTAGCGACGGACGGCTCAACAAATTCTTATCAACTCACTCGTCCCTTACGCACGTCACAAACGAGCTGACTAGTGGCACAATTCACCTTTCCCTTACTGCCCTTTCACTGCCGTCACTGACACTATATTATGAGCAGGAAGTAGTGCTCCAATTAAGAAATGATTGCATTAGGTAATGCAAAATTAATCGTTCATCTTATGTACATCATACTTTCCATAATTCCAAAAAGTTGACAGTTGACTAACGCGAGCGCATCTGATCCAGCCTTAAACTAAACTCCAGTCTGTGAATGTAGAAGAAAGGATTTGTTGCAAAGAAACGATGTAAAATCTATAAGCAGGTACGGATAATGCGACGGATCAACAAAGCGATCAGAAATTGGTTGAAACACATACACCAGCACCAAACGTTGAATTATCCCCATTAGTAATATCATTAATTGCGGTCGTGTGTTTATTGATAATTGCATTAATTGTATCGATGTTCTTACTTCGAATATGCATCATTAAGCGGCGAAATGGACGTGACCGGAGGGCTAAAGTCGCAGTTGAAACACAATCCCAGGTTGACACCCCTTTGTCAATTATCTTCAACTTTTAAGTATTTGTCTATTTGACAATACTGACCACAAACCCAAACAATTTATCGTTTTCTTTAATCCTATTCGTAGAACCGACAAGATAAAGGTTTCTTTGATCCGAATGTCAAATTTCGTAATACAAACTTTTTGTCCACAGAAACCAATAGAAAAGTAGGTTAAGAGGATTAAAAGGTGGGAGGTTACCTGCAATTTAACGGTAGTTCAGCACAAGTTCATATTATATAAACTAGATTTTTAATCTAATAGTATAGAAACTAATTACTAACCAAAATTTTCGGAAATTGTGAACGAAAGCGTGTGATCTTTTCGAGACTGTACCATTTCTCCACAAACAACAGCATATTGACAGTGAGAAACGTGAAGGGCAAAAAAAAGATGCAAAACTTGGCCTATGCCAAAATTTAAGCCTCAACCTCTCCCTCCCTCGTGAACTTCGAAAAATGTTTCAGAGTCTCAAAGAAACCATGCGAAGATCAAGATCATCAACGGAACTGAAACCAAAACAGTTAACAGTAATATCGCCATCGATAACATCATCCCCAAGCCCGCAATCACAATCTGAAATCAAATCAAAAGAGCAATCACCCACTGTTCAATCAATCGACGTGATATCACGGCAACAATCCAATCAGCCAGCTCCATCATCACCATCTACAACGAATCAGAGCACTCATATGGTGTCAAACCAATATCACAATTATGCAATCTCGTCCACTTCACATGACGACCTACCCCTTACTTTTCAAACTCGAACTTTTCTTCTGTATAAGGAACAACGAAATTAGAGTTAGAAATTCTCCGATATCAATGGAAGAGCTGTGTTTTCGAAGATATCTCCAACTCTGAACTGGCTAAGTATAACCTTATTAGCTTGAAACAGTTTTAGATGAAAAGAGACGGGGACGGGAGAATCGGGAACGAAATTTTGCATTCGAGGACCCCGAAAATGTGGTCATCTCAAAAAGTTAGGGGCCTGGTCCCAGAAAATTTCTGATCCCTGTAACACACCAAATTCAAGCATACGGAGGATGGCTGATCAAGTTCTAACTTAATCGGATGAGTTAATTAACAGTGAAAACTACGCTCTCCAGTAACTCCTTAGAAGAAGAGCGAGTTTTCGAAGTTCTTCCGCCTGAATTTCCCCTCGTTCCTAACCGTAAACAAAACGATCCACTTGCTCCAATCACAATCGAAATTTTATTTCAGGATGCATCAAACACCAGAGGTTTACTGGTGCGTCGAACGTTCGTGTGCATTCAAGGCAACTGGCGTGTTGTTGATGAGGCTCCTGATTTTTCGTTCCGCTTGGAGTCGGAAAGTCTTTCAGAAGTGTCACTGAAATCTTCTGAATGAAACACATCCGAATGATTTGTTGACGTGACGACTAATTTTAGCGTATTTCTATTCGCAATATTTATTATGTCCTCAAATGAAATATTTTTAGTTGTTGAATGGTTTACGTGTGTATATCTGTGAAATTCTTTGAAATGTTTTAGTGCGATGTTCTGGTTAATTTCTTGAGCGAAGTGTGAGGAACAAATGAATAAAAGTGTGATATTGTTTGAGTGGATGTCTCTTGATTGAATTTTAATACGTGAAGATGACAGATTTGTAGTTTTATACTTTATTGTATATATGAAACCAAATAATGCTATATATCAATTAGTGCTTACAAACAAATGATTGATTACGACACATGAGTTGTTTTGATCGCAGAGGAGATTTTAAATGAACTGATTACGGACACCAATAAAAAAGCCATTGGTAATGTAATCAAAATTGTTTAATTATTGTTTTCGAATGAAGAGGTGAATCACTTCAGATGAATCAAACCAAACAATGAGACGATTAACTGATGTGAATCAAAAGAACTCATGTATTCATCAAAATGAACGTTTTTTGCCTCGATAAACAAAACTATGTGAGAACTGATAATATCAAAGACGCATAAGAAGTCACAACTCAATGAACACAACAATGAGTACCGACGAAATCTGCAGTGATCACAACCAGAGACACAATCAGGAAATTTTGAATTCGACGTTTATGTTCAATTTGCTGCAGATGATCAATTTGGACGGGCGTATTTCAAAAATAACGAACCAGCTGAAACATGCTGAATGTAATTGTGAGCTAATACCACAAAAAGCAGGTCTCGTCGACGGCTTGCAAAAACAACAACAACAACGCAGCGAGAACAAAGTGAATCAATAAAGCAGCATATCAAAATGAATGCAAATATCGATAAACAAAACAACTACACGGTGCACACAAAAAATAAGAAAGCGCAAAAGTTCACAACCATACAAAAACTTAAACAAACAAAGAAATGTAAAGAGTGAGGAAGGAGGTGTTGCGGCATGACATGATGATAACCATCATCGAACAGCAAGTCGTCGACGGAGAAAGATACTCTTGTCGTGTAGATTGTCGGTTTTCATAAAACGCTGACTTAATCATATTGAAATTTCCACTTCGACTTCGTCAACAGAAGTGTGCTGGATGGCGATACTAATCTTAAGTGATGATGGATTTTCATTAGGAATATGACGGCCTTGCAGCTATCTTTGAATCACTGGATCAAGTAAGCCATGCCACTAAGAAATGGAGATTGTAAAGATGAATGAATGGAAATGCGAAAATTACACTAGCTAAAAGACAACCTACAAGTATCAATAGTGAAATTCGTCAATCCGTTCAGTCCCATAATGTTCATTCTACTTAATAATGCATCAACATGAAATGCTCGAAAAGGTTTGAAAAGAGAAAAATAAATGCACCAATCCCAGTTATCGGGTTACTAGTCAACGAACAGATATATCAGCATACATATATATGTGAAACATTTCAAGCATGATAATGATAATGAGGCGAGTAATTGGTCCGAATACAATCAATGAACTCAGTTTAGAAGAATAATGATGAATATTCGAATTTGACTCTTTAATATACGGATAAACAAACACACAAAATAATAACCTTCAAACGACGAATAACATCCTTATCAAGCTTGCATCTTTACGAGAAGACTCAATTTGTGAATGAATAGTTAAGTGAAGTAATAGTGATATACTGCTATAAACAATAAATAAATTCAATTGAATATCGCAATTAATGAGAATTTGTTCAAAGTAACATTGACAAATATGAATGAAATAAGCACATCATCAATAATACCTTTCCAGCGACCTCTTTGCGACAAAATAAAAACATTATGAACGAAGTCACAGAGGATATTTTAGCCATTCGAAATTATAAGGAAAGGGCTTCGTTCCGTTGGAAAGAGGTTCGATGAGAAGGTGGTCATCAATTATCACAATCAATGAATAGCAGAATGCTTATAATTGCAGGAACTAATATATTTCATCGGTAATTTCCATTCAGAATTCGCTATTCTGAATGCTTCTGGAAACGTTCACTAACGAGAATGAAATTCAAAAGAAATACTGTTTCATTAAAATCCTATGTTGGAATTTGTAGCCATAGACCGACAACAGAAAGAATGATGTCTAGGTTGGCAACTGATCACAAATTTGAGAAGTATATCTAAAGAGAGAAAATGAACTGTGAGAGCTTGATAACACAGAGAGGAACAAAAAATCGAAAATGACAACAGAACGCTGCGATGCAAAAGTATTCAGAAGACTTGCGCTCTTGTCGGTACCCACGCATACGGTCTTGACTGTTCACCAATAACACCAAGCACTCGGCGCACCAAATCCTCAAACGATGCACCACTGACGACTGCTGAAACCAGGCACTGCTCAGTGACATTTATGCATTTCGTGCGATTGATTACACTTATATTACGGTCATCTGATAGCGAGTTTTGATATGAACACTGATGATGAAGACATCAATCATCAAACAGAAACTCGTCATAACTGAACAAGCCAATTAACCTGTGAAAAGATCTCCAAAGCTTTGCTCAATTCGTTGACAACGTTGAAATTGATTTCGTGCATCATCCTCGTTGATCGTGTGGTCCCAATCCCTAAAATATAAAGGATCAGCTGTGACAAAATTGAGATTGACGAATGTGAATGGATTGACTTCCAAATTCAATACAATTTTGATCAGTGCTTTTTGTGGTAAATACAAGGATGAAGATCAAAATTCAACACTGATGGAAACGATTTTTTGAATTAATTGGACGAGTTCACAGATTGAGACATACATAATTTGATGATGGTTTTGTGGTTTAACAAAGATGGCGATCGGATGGATATTCGCTGCTGATTGCAATCGTCGGATAGCATTGCCACTCACATCCAGAATACAGTGTCGTCCCTGAATGAGTGAACGAATAAATTTACATTATACCTACCACCTCTATGCGTATACTACCTAATAATCTGCTTATTTAGTCCATCTATAAACTCAAAATACCAATCTACACCATTATCCCTTCAGAAAATCTTAATCGACAAAAATATTAAGTCAATAGTTGATTTTTGCCTTTTATTTAATAAGTGTTTCGTCATTTGACAAAGTGTACACTCGTTATCAATTGTACAGCTTTAGGCTCTTACAAAAAGTTTAACGTTTTGATCAAAGAGAGTTTAAACTGGAGATGAATCAAGAGGAATTGCATACCGATTGAGCAACTTCACGAACGGAACCGATACTGGTGCCGTAGAGATTATCTTGGAATTGTCCAGCCTCGATGAACAGGTTGTTCTTGACGTCCTCTTGCATTTGCTCCTTCGAAACAAAATGATAATCTCTACCGTCTATTTCGTTGTCTTTTGGTGGACGACTCGTATCTGATATGAACACACAAAACATTAGTTACACGCTTTCGAACAATCTAATTTTTGTGAAACAATAAGCTTAATTCATGTGATAGCAGCAGCAGCAGCCAAAGAATGCTTTAAGTGCAACAATAACTTCTGCTGAAACTAACGAGGAACACAACTGCTGAATCGATCACGATCTCTCTGTACAAGTTCATCATTTATGCGATCCTTCATTGCCCCAAGAATTATCACTGGTCTCGGATAGTTTACTGAAATTTTTCATTGCTTTCCATTATCGGTCATGCAAAAAAAGTTTTACTCGATACATTAAAAAATGTGGGTTGGCACAGAATCCTGGTACACGGAATTCGAAGAACGATTTGATTTTTCAACTATGAAATATTCTCGAACTCAGATGCCACTTTGCTCAATGCCCTTCTGAGCATGTAACGTGAAGTTTAAAATTTGGGGGCAAAAAAATTCTGGTAGCAAACAAATGAATATTTCATATAAATGCTCATATAAATACTGAACACTAATTTTCACTTCGAAGCTAAGTCATGAAGAGAGATGAAACTCAAACAATTCTTTACAGGTCAAACTCACTCTGTTGGCGTTCAACCGCAACGTACGTCGGAATCGGCTCTTCGGCCATACCAACTGAAATAAACCACTCAAAATTACATTCGTTCATCAAACTTAAAAATCACAACCAAAACGAACTTGTGAACAAAGTTATAGATGAAAACGATCAGCCAATAACCACAACAATGACTGATTAGAAGTAATTCGATTAGAAGGAAACGGAATCATTAAAGAGACGCAACGATAAGAGGTATTCGAAGTTAGTTACTAGATCGCATCAGAGGATCTAACCGATTTTCATGCAAACATACAAAATAAGCAAAACGTTGCTATAAGAAGCGCAAAAGCATGACATATTATTTGTTCACTAAAAGGCAATCAAGAACGGCACCATTAATTAGATGATTTCATTTTTCCGTTTCATATTCGAACTACTCTTGGTTTACTTATCTAGTTATTCTAACACGGCACCGAAATATTTTAAAATTAGACAAATTAATGAACAGATGATTGATTACCAACTAAGAACAGAACAAGAAACTCGTTACAAAATAATGAATTATACGACACATTGGTATTACTCCTCACTATCAACTTACAACAATAATCACTATCACTTGTTGTACACGATGTGAACGTCGTACCACAGCCTGATTTGTTATTCTTTCATATTTGCATAGGAACAGAATCATGGTAATAACCTCTTTCGGTTATTAATTACAGTTTTAAGCACTACTTCAGAATGTTGCTACGCAGTGGAAGGAAAGAGATGGTGATCGATTGGTGATAAAAATAATTTCTTGCATACGAAATTGTTACAATGAGATAAAATGAATATACGCTAAATATTACTGATGAATGCACAATTTAACCACTCAAAATATGTGTTCGACTTGTAACATATGAAGCGTAATTTTGAATGAATAAGAAATTAAAATCGTTGAATTGAGAATAAAACTAACGTTCATTATCCGTGAATTCGTTCAATCTTTCGGTGCTCTTAACGAATGGGAATTTACGGGAGAAGGAAAGCTGTGATCGCGATCCTCGTCTTCCATCCATACCAGCGTTACGACCCAAACTTTGACTTCCCGCATTGAAATTCACCTGCAAATTCATATTCACACTAATTGACTTTGAAAAGTATCCTCATTTTAACATCATTCAATGACTTTTTCTTGCTTACTAGATACCAATGAATATAAATGCCAACCTGCTTTCTACGTTGACGTTCTTTTTTCTCGACTCGTCTTTTCGATGGAATGACACCCTCCATGCCTTCGTCGCCGTTATCACTGACTAAACGTGCTGTCCACCAATCATCATCAGTTGTGTTTGTCACGTGCAATATATCACCGTAATAGAATGCTAACGCACGATGCGGCACACCAGCATCTCTAGATGGATCGTAATCGAACAGTGCTCTGAAACACAATTTCATTTCATTCACGCAATGAACACAAAAATCCAGTCAAAAAATTTTCGTGAGAATACTCTGATTTCAAGCGATTTTTAACGTTATGAAAACGAATGCTTATTAATATTAATGTTCTTAATGATGCTCCATAATAATGATTCGATTCAAACTCTTTACAATAACACTAATGGTTATAAACGTCTGAGCACTAACTCAAGATGCAAAATCAGATTTGCATCGCGAATTTAAGCACATTCTGAAGCTTCTGAACATAATCAAGAGTTGCGCAAAAGATACACTAAACCTAATAAGTCCATTTCTTATTATAGAGTAAACAATACTGATTCGTCGTTTTAGTTGAAAATTGCATTCAATGTTACGAACAAAAACTTAGATGCAGCAGCGGAATTCGTTTGAATAAAACAAATGTCAAAAGTAAACAGGGGACGATACCTGACAAAGAGGTCTTTTCGAGGAGCGCCATACGCCATCACTCCACCGCTCATCATATCTTTGCGAAGCTGATCAATCTTTGCCTCGAATTCCGCATATTCTAAACAAATGAATGTTTTCGTTGTTGGTGACACTCGTCAACTCTTTTCGAATCAGCTCTATTGCAAAATACTTCGATGTCGATTGTGAAAATACGACGGAACGCTCAAAATGTATCTGATAGGATCTATCTCAAATGTGTCCACAGAATTATTTCCTGATGAGGTTAACATCTCTTTTTTTGATCTGTCAATATCACACTGATAACTCATCGGTTTCCATTCATATTTCATTCACAGCACACCCACGTAATGGAAGTTTCATTAAATAGATCTAATTTTGTTAAATTTTTAGAGAAAGTTGCATTGTATGGAAACATTCAAAGTGAACCGTCACAAAAGGAAACCTTGCGGACGATACTGAAGAATGAGGTTGACGGGATTAGTTGCTTCTTTAAGAGCTCGTGCTGCTTCGGCATGAGTTGCATTCCGTAAATTAACACCATTAACTTGAAGTAACACATCACCCTTTAAATCGCTTTTTCTTAATGCACGTAACAACATCAACAATTCGCTAAGAAATATACCACTGATAGGGAAAGTTGTTTTCCCAAATCCAAAAAAAACAACAAACACGACATTTGAAACTTTTAAGGACATTAAATCTGACATTCCTTTGGAACAGAACTCTACCAGATAACTACTTGACTGCACTCTTGAAATAGAATGCAACGAAGATCCGAGCGAAAATTGGAGCCATTTCCGTATGTGAAACGAATAAATGGCAGAAATGAGCATATATTTATTGGATACCTTTTTAACATTTCCAGATAAATCAGCCACTCCACCCGGTAGAACATAACTGATGTAGATAGGTTCGCCTTCTTCACCACCGACAATATTAAAACCCAGACCTTGCATTCCCTTATTCAAGTTGGTTTGCCTTGGCACCAGTGGTATTTCTTGAGGTGCAACCGGATTATAGACTTGCTGTGGTGGTGGTAGCTGAGGTTGAGGTTGGTACTGAGGTTGGAGTTGAGGCTGGGGTTGGGGTTGGGCCTGGTACTGTGGCTGGAGATTTGCATCGAATGAATCTTGATGTAGGGACCCACCTGCAAAAAAATTCCATCTCATTATTTACTCATGCAAACATCACGTTTATCTTCTCTTTTCCGTGGATTCTTGATCAAAAAGTATTTGATCTTTAGGCGATTTGCCTCTACAGAGCAATATCATTCATCGCTCGAATATTAAACACTCACTTTCTTAAGGTGCACGCCATCTCGTGTATAGAATTACGACGTTAAAATATAGCGTAACGTATTGCAAACGACAGATGCACTTATGAACGGGAATTGTATCAGATTGTCTGAACTAAACAAAAGCATTGTCGCTGATAGGCCTAAATTCTAAGAGCGATATAGACAAACAACTAACTAGATCTGGCTGGGGTTGGGATAGCATTCATTGAACGACTAAGGCTGTCATCAAGCGCTGACATCGGCACCAGTTCTGGATGAGGATTCTTGAGGTAGAGCAGAGTGACTTTAGTTGATGTCTGCTTCAAAGTGTTAACCGCAAAATCGTGCGTTACGTTCTCCAGTGATATATCGTCAACCTAGAACACAACAAAACCGAGTAATGAACACATTCAGAAAACAAATCTAATTCCACTACATTGCTGTGTATAACCCAAATCAGAATGAAACTGAACAACGAGTGAGACTAACCGCAAGAAGTTTGTCGCCAACGCGCAAATGTCCATCGTGATACGCTGCACCACCATCGATCACTTTTGTCACATAAATTCCCGTGTCACCGGCCACATGCTCGTTCCCAACACCACCAGCGATACTGAATCCCAATCCTTTCGTGCCCTTGAAACGCTTTTTTTTAATGATACCGACAAATCACAGTTTCCGTGGTGTTTATTCAACTTCCCAAACATAAAAAATACTATCAAATGTGATAGAGAACACAATAATTTAAAGTAATACAATAATAACTAGTTGATATTATGAAGACACATCACAACTGAATTACATGAAACTTTAGCTTACTTTATAAAGATCAATTTTTTGCACTCCTGGGATACGCTCAAGCCGTTCGATCTCTCTTGGGGCACGTTGAACAGGAATATTTGTATAGGACGAGTGCGACGGTGGAGCGGGTGGTGGATATGTGGGTGCAGATGGTGAGTTCTGCTGGACTGGGGTAAGACCGCTGGGAATAGTGCCTGGTTGATACGAAGCTGCTGACAAACCACTGAAACTCGCACTTCGTCTTCCACCCAATCGACGTCGTTTCAACGCCTTGAAAAAATGATTCAATACAACAAAACGTTCATGGCTACAAAAACTTTCACTTCCATTCAATTCACTGCCCAACTCAGGCTCGATAAAGCGAAATCGGGACTTGCAGTACTGATTTCCACTGTATTTAAGACTATGTAGACTGACTCAGTTACAACGTTTACTATCAAAAACATTATATTCCATCATTCATAATTTCAAATTAATTCATGCATCAGAATCTGTTGGAAGGCGATTCAGATGCGTCTTTTAGCAATGATCAAATGTTAACATTTCTTAACTACAACTGGAACAAATGAAGACGTATTGCAGCAATGTGACGTTCAACACTAACCAATCGCACCACGTTACCAGCATTTTTGAGTGCGTTAACAGTCACCTCATGTGGTGCACGACTGCAGTCGGTTGAATTCACCTTCAGAATGATATCCTGAGGCCTTAAAGTAAACGAGTAACATCACAGCCTTTCTATCGATTGCTTACACCGTCACTCACGTTTACTACACTATTTCATTTCATCACATCTCAAACTTCTACTTTCACCTCTAAGACAAACAACCTTGTCAACTGAAGATTAATTCATCAAAATAACAACTGCACTCGCTTCTGAAGACGTTTGAAGCAGTGTACTTTTGCACGAAACATTTATCGGTTCAAATGTTGCTAAATTCACGTCTCATAAATCAACTGAATAACAAAAATGATTAGTGCTGGCTGGAAATTCCACCTGAGTGCAACACGCTCCAGAAAATGAATTTTGAGTGTAAGCTAATATTGTTTTGAACTTTTACTTTTCTCACATTTTGCTTACAATAGTGATTAATATCATTATACATAATGACTGCATGAATGTGTCGAATAATAGTGATGAATTTTTTAAATGTGCATATTTCGAGAGTCAACTTTTCAATCATACTAGAGCAGCAAAAAACTGACGCTTTGTTGGCGTCAAATAGTTCTGGTGAAAAATGCAAATGAGAAACGAAAAAATATTAATTCTGCAAACGATACGATTTCATATTCGGATGAAAAGCACGAGACAACATTATGCGCATAAAATTGCTATTTTGGAAAGCACAGCAATCAAAAACCGCTTAAATGGTCTAACAACGTGAAGAACACTTCAGTTTATAGTGTTTTGGAGTAATCAGCTCTCGATTACCTATTCTAAAGTGTGAGCAGAATACGATCTGAATATTGTCTTTCGATTTCATGAACCTACAGGATCAATCCATTGACCAATTCAAAAAAAAGAACGAAAATGAAACCAAACCTCATCCGTCCATCGGCTGCAGCTGCCCCGCCAGGAATAATATTTGTCACATAGATGGACGGATCGCCATCAACATATGGCTGGTCCATTCCTCCAGCAATACTGAACCCCAGACCAGTATGTCCCTTCTCCAATATGACATCCTCAATCTCCCACTCAACACCATCGTTATCTATCAATCCATTTGTCTAAAAAGTACGTTTACAAACTCTTCTAGTATTTCTACTTAGCTATGAAATTTCAGCTATATGAATTTCCTTGCAGCATCCAATTCATCATCACTGTAGACAGAACGTATAGAAAATGTGCATCATTAAACAGAACTATGTCAAATCAAGATCCATGACACTAGCTGGCTCGATAAACATATCATTTTAGATCTATAATGTCGGAGACTTCAATTTAATGCAGACAAAAATAATAACAAGTCAATTGTCATCATCATTATAGAATGCAATGGCAATGTCATGATGTTTTCAAGTCCTTTGCAACAACAATAAATGTATTAAATGTCCCTTCTAGAAGTGGATTTGTTTATTTACTTGTGTTGATACGGCTCTGAAGAATGTAACCATTATGAAAATACTTCAGCTCTTCTATATAAATAAATAGATTAGATGAAGAGTGAATGAATGCTATTTGAATTATTCGCTACAGATCGAGTTGTGTTTAAATATGTACATAATGTTTACCGTGTCACCAAACTCACGACGTGTTCACTGATCGTGTGGATGATGATGACTATCTGTGCAGATCGTTTCATCCGATTAACCAAGCACAAACCCTACGTATGCACCCGAATGACCACCATCATTAAAAACATAACTGCCGCAGATATGCAACTATTCTCACGCATCATATCACACAACCATCAAATGTCATGCCATTTCCTCACATTCCAACAATCACTCGTTCGATGTATATGTTCAGCAGATAAATACGTTCATTTAGATTTTCGGTTTTCTTACCCAAGACTGCAGGCAAACGATACATTGTGTTGTTTGTATAGTTACTATCTGCGGCTCGGCTCATTCGTTTGGTTCGATTCGCTTGATTGCTAATATGAGACAAAGAATTTATACGAATGCAACGTGACTGCGTAAATCACCATGCAAAATGAGTTTATGTTTCTGGTAACTCCTCAATCATAGGGCTCAATTTTACACTGGGAATGTATGAAAAGGACGAAGAAATCCTAAACCCAAATGGCCAACTAAATGAGCATAAAATCGTGAGGTGACGCAAATGACCTCGCAGTGAATACAATTCACAATTTTTGATACCCCTTCGGAGATTAACGCGATTCGCTGATGGATGGATAGGAGTGATAGATTACAGTTTGATGTTATTTGCATTCCCTGAATCACTGCTATTCGAATGTGGTGCAGTTACATGAAATAAGGATATCATAGCAATGAGTAGGATAAAATTAAGATATGCTTTATAATTGTCATGCACCTGTCTTGTTTGACGTTTGTAGGCATCAATAAATTTTGAGATGTTAAGATATTTTCTCGCAAGAGGAAGCGACTATAAATAACGAAGAAAGCAGAACACCTGATGGACGATGCCAAAAATCTATCGTCAACTAATTCAATCATTTTTTGGCTATTCACAATCCGATATCCTCTATCAAAAAACGCACACAATTTCGTAACGCATTTCGTTTTGATCATTGATAGAGAAAAAGCAAATGAATGATTCAGAATTTTACATCAATCAATTATAACGTTTTCAATTAAAAGTTTTTTGGTGAACTCCATTTCTTGGTTGATTGTTATTATTATTATTATTATTATTATTATTATTATTATTATTATTATTTCAGTGAGTACACATCAGCATTTTACTGAAGCTTGTGCAATGAGAAGGATGCGTTCGACATCAACAACTGAATAGTTGCTTAAGTTTGCTTGATAGTAATGTTTTGGCTTATCAACAATTAGTTATGCTTTATAGGAATGAGATATCTCATAAAACTCTAGAATTCGCAAATCTCTCTCAATTTTTCTACATAGATATAGCATTTCGAAGCCAATGTGACCAGACTGATGGTCCATTGATGGCAATGAACCATACTGAATGTCACACACGATTAAACATCGAATGAGATAGATCTGCGTGAATCAGTCTGAAACGAACATTCGCTTCAATGCAGTACTACCTCACACCTCATGCTCTTAAGCAGTCTCAACAAAAGTTTAAAACCAATAATCATTTGTATCTTTCAGATTGAAGTTCATACATAAAATACTGAACAATGCATCACGTTCAAAAAATTACGGTGCATTGCACGTCAATTTTCGATCTTCAAAAATAACTGCAGTTAATTCTTCGATGTCATAAATACTGACAATAACTGATTCAAATTGCTGTAGAATCCGCGATTTTTTTGTGCTGATTCAGTGCGCAATTTATTCGATCTCCTTTTTTTTNTTTTTTTTCAGTTTATACGTAAAAGTCAAAGGAAATGAATTGCAATGGTGAGCGATCGGTGATTGATTTCAGATAAAAAAGCGTTCTTTGAGACGAATAGTGATACGGATTCATTTGTGCTGTGCAGAAATGTATAAATATAAGAGAAGAGGATGATGCTTTTCATACGAGTAAATACAATCGAGTTATTTATGGCTGTGTACGCAAACGTATTTATTTACCTAACCAATTCAGCTGACGACTCACAGATAAGATTCTTACCTTCACTAATAAACGATCGACATCAGTCAGTCAGTCCCCTTTCCTATTCACCAACAATCATAAATAATACTTTCTTTCTTTCTGTTTCGCTTTCTCATTACTGCCATCCTTCCAACGTAAATAACCACGTGAGCAATCATAAATACAACTGGTATCGCATTATTTGCATAGCATACTCTTACATTGGAATCCGCTAAACTAAACAATGAAAATCCCTTCACAACATCCCAAATTTGTCACTTACACATATATGTTCAGTGAGACATATTGACAATTGTTTTGTATTATTTCACTACTAGATTTAATGAATGATCAGATAATGCTCCACTGATAAACAGCGCGTCTATTCTGTGAGTGACTGCTAATTTTGGTGAGTACGATTGCAGTTTGACAAATTCGTAAATGATGGCTATCGCTGTCATCGCAAACTTAATCGATTCCATATGGTAGTACACCCCACATATCTATCACAAACACATTTCAAATTTCGCCACAAATGAACGCATAAATATCTGCTGAACAAGTGTCATTCATCTCATCTAAATTATCAATCGATCAATGTGTTGAAGCGTGTGGTGTTGAGGTAATGAGCACACTAAAACTAGTCAATATTGAGGAAATAGTCAAAGATGAGAGTCAAACGTTAATTTACGCGAACGATTCGCTTGAAGACAGAGCGATGCTCAAAATAAAATAATAGTAACGTATAGGAGAAATATAGCAATAACATGAAATGCTGTGCTACATGAATGATTCGAAAGTGCTCGGGATTCAGTCAGCCGAAACGATAGAAAGCTAATAAAACTGTTCGGCGTTGAAGACTGTAAATCGCTAACAGGGAATTGGCCAAGGCCAAATGCAGACCAAGACCAAATGATGAGTATCATATTTATTTCAATACTTATGAGTAATGATCACTCGTATTCAGTAAATGCTGCACAAATGATTCAGTACAGTCGGATGACCATCAATTCAAACATACCACTGTCGACGAGAACTGACCAGACGGTGTCATCTGCGTAAGTGTTTCACTTGTCCTCCAACCGTCATTTGTGGACTAAAAAATTGCTGATATCAATTTTGCATTCCACGAAAGTTTATTTTATGTCATAAATAAAGTTTGAGATGCTTATTTATCAAAGTATCCGAACAACGATACGCACAACTCCAGCACCAATGGGTGAATATTCGGCTATATTGACACATAAACCTCTCATTCACAAAAAATTAAACCGAAAAACATAATGCATACATATTGACGACGTTGTTCCTGCATTGAGTATGAATGTGATGGATCATTTCCGTTTGTAAACATCGATGGAACATGATGGTCCAAATATTGGAAGCCAGAGTCCTTCAAACATTCTTCATGTCCAACAATTTCCGAATGTTACACAAAATTCGCCAGAGAATATCCACTATTTCAGTATCATTGACAGTGGATTGCGTTTGGCACAATCACAAATGATTTATTTTATGCCAACTCGTCAATAGCAGCGTTTAAATGAGACGCTAAAACGAACCGGTGTTGCGAGTGGAGCATCTTTGAATGATTTGCCGAACGGAGGGTTTATTTGCCAACGTTCCGCGATTCTTCTTGTCTCGAGAGCTTTCTGCGACACGCTTTTACGTTCGTTCAAAAGTGTTTCTTCATACAATTCTTGGATATCTACAAGCAAAATGCAATCATTCAGCAGATAACACTTACAAAAATGCTCGCAAAGTAGAACTCATCATATGAAATTGTTTTAACTCGAGAATGAAAATTCGTCAAGTAAATAAATCATGAAGAAATATCGGTACCAGAAGCAAGGAAATGACAACTCAACTACACCTGCTCACAATAAGTGAAACCGAAAGGGCAACAAGTTATCATTATATCAGTAAAAATCCGACAAATTCCAGACGAACATTTTTGTCCTTTGGAATTGTGTGTTCATCACAACAAGTCACCTTTTAAATGGGGATCCTTCTGTGCTTATAACAATGCGACTCAAATATGTGGCAAAAGTTTGTGAAGACGAGGGAAAGGAACGAAAAATCGGAATACTTAGGCAATCAATTATCAAACTATCGAAAAACAGACCAGCTGCTAATCAAGATGGTAAATGTCTAGACAGAAAAAGGCCCAATATGTTACACGATTCTATGTGGCTTTGTTCAAATATTCACTGAATTGAAACCGTATTATTATGCCATTTATTTCAGACACATTTACACGATAAATACTTCCGAATTGCATATGAATGCATAAAGATACAAAAATAATTTCAACAACCTTCGAACTTTCCCTTATACGAACATCTGCATAACAGCAGTTAAGGTGAACTATCATTTTTAATATGGGAGAAGCGTGGCTTGATATCGGATAAATAAAATTCTAATAAAGGGCAGAAATGAAAAAAACACATAAACGAACCCAATAACGATTGAAAAAGAGCTGATTTGAAATGAGTGAGCAGTTTTTCGATTTCACGTTTCAGTTCACTTGAACTCGCGCTTACCAAAGTCGCATGGTATTCTTCAAGTTGCTCTAGTGCGCGGTGCGCTTCTATAATATAAACGTTTGATTATTCCACTGGAAATGTAATTGATATGACAACGGTCGCAGGAATATTGAGTATTTTTTCCACTAAACGAATGAAACATAAAGAAGCACAGCAGATGCTAACGGGCTAATGACTCTAACTGTGAAGGTGATCAGAAATGTAAAACAAATCAGAAATTTGTACGAACACACAGAATCAACTCAGTTATGTTGGCACTGTATCACCTTCTATGCTACATTCGATGCAATATAAAAAGGTGTGAAATATAATTGTTAGAAATTGAAGGCAAGAGCTTAAAGCAAAATCAATGAGATACAAAGATGTGATGAGTGAAAAAGCAAACTACAAAAATACTCACCTCCAGTTCTGCGCACAGGCATCGTTCGTCACTTTGTTGTATTCGTAATTAGTTTTATTGGATGAATATTTCTGCAATTAACGACTGCATTAATGAATTAAAGGATTTACAATCAGGTCGCCAATACTAATTCATTTTGTACACCACTCAATCGACGAGTAAAGTAATCGAACAGATTATCGAACGACAAATAGAGCAAATAATTCGTTAAATGTGCAGCGGATGAACCAAAACAAAACGAATGAATTCAATAGAATTTTCTGCCATCGATCAAAAAACTGATTGGCTAATTAACAATTTTCATCGGAATTAACGTTACGTTACGGACATTCGGAAATACGACCTCGAAATCGTATTTCTGAATGTTTCCAACGACAGTCCATAACGTTAAATTTCGAACAAAACTGAATGAACATTAGTGCACGAAGAAAAAAAGAGACCAATTCAAGAGATCACAACACATGTTCTCACAACTCAATTATGCTACCAAAAATTCTTTTCTCGTTTGTAAATTGATGAACAAAACTCTCAACTACGACAATCCGCCAGTTTTTTTGGTGGAAATACTCTCAAAGTGCAACAATCAAATATCCAATCGATGCGAGCGCTCGTTCACTGCACGAATTCAAATCTATTCGAGACGTAAAAGAAATCCTTTCGATGCAATTCGAGAGGGATGCAGATGGATGCACTATCTACTACTGTCACTGTTTCGGTTGCTGATGAAAAACGGCAAACGCATACGAAAGCAAAAACGCAATGCACTCGCAAGAGTTGACAGAGGCGAGATACCTTTCCAATTGATAACAAAAATTTATTCAGAACGGACCATGTTAATTGTGAGTGGTGATAACGGAATTCAGCGTAACGACGAACGAACGGTACGCTACGTTAAAGAGTTATTGTGTATGAAATACACTCATTCATTTCACTAGCTGTAAATAAACACACAACTTTATTCTTTTCCTCATATTAGCTCATAAAATTAGTCTGAAAGTTTTGTTTGCAACATCAAATTTGAATGTTACGCAGTTCAATGCAGAAATGATGTAGTTCAAAAATTCACTCGTTGGAATGTATCTTCGGCAGTGATAAGAAAAATACGTAGAATATCGATGAGGTAACATTGAGAATTGAATGCAGTTTACCGAAAAAATGATAGACGAATTCAGAAATGACAGATCTTGATGGAGAGTTTCCAGTTTAGAGAGTGATAATTCATGCGTTTTAACACCATTATATTGCATCCTCTCACTGAACTTACAATTAAACAAATGCAACTCGCAAAAAAACCGATCACAGTAGAAAATTTTGTTTCTGATTCGAGTTCAGCGAATTCTGAACCCATACCAGAATATATCTTGATTGAAGCTATGCAGCCATCATTACTATACTGTCATCTTGGAAAGATTACACGAAATTTTGCAAGTTTATAAAATACGGATTGAATCCGTTTTAGACATCAATATCAGAGATATGCAACCAGCATCCACGAAATTATTGTGAGCGGGGAGGAGCGGGGGGGGGGGGGGGGG